TTTTCCCGCGCGCTCAAAAATGGCGTCCCCCTTCGCCCAGCGCGTTCGCGCAATCTCTCGCGCGCACTCAAAATGGCGGCCCTTTCCGCAAAGCGCATCGTCGCCATACCCCGCGTGCGCGCAAAATGGCGGCCCAACGTGCGAACACGTGGCCAGTTTTCTCCATTCGTGCACCCCAGCTTCCCTTAGCTGGGGGTCACAAGACGCATCCCCCGTCACGTTATAACAACCCCACCAACGATAGACGCACAGCCCCAGCTTGCTGCGCACAGCTGTCATATCGTGGAATTTTTAACCAATATTTTACCAACCACATTAGTTACACAACCCAACTCGCCAAGCAACTCGTGGTTGCATGCGATCAACCGAATACGCGACGCCACTTGGCGCCAATTTACGATCCCATTAGCATTAACATCTAAGCCACCCACAACGGCGTCATCGCGCACCCTCATTCTCAAAAAGCTCAATTACCCCTATAATATACACGCAATCTCGTGTGCACAACACCCATACAACCAAATTTTATGGTCCCCCTCTATAATATACACGCAATCTCGTGTGCACAACAACCATACAACCAAATTTTATGGTCCCCCTCTATAATATACACGCAATCTCGTGTGCACAACAACCATACAACCAAATATTTGGGTCCCCCTCGAATTTGTTACCAATTTCCAACAGGTACGCACAATATAATAACAATCTCAATTCCAATAATCAACCACTGCATCGCACCCCATAACCATACAGAACAGTATAACAGCACATACAATCAGCATATTGCGATCACACGCGTACATTTAAACACAATAGCAAGCAGATCTGCAGGCAACCAACACACCATTAATCCTGTCGTAACTTTGCAGCAACAACACAATTATTCTCTCTCTTGCAACAATCGCATCGCACACAGCACCTCGCAGCACAATACACCAAAAAAAAATATATATTTTTTTTCAATTAAGCCCATCACACAAGGTAACCCACAAATAATACAGCGCAAGATACCCGACGCTCCCAAGTTAATAATTAACTTCACCATCAAGATAACAACTCCACGCAGCAGCGCACACACACAATTTGACACTCAGCAAATACAGCAGACTCTCCGTCCATTCTCAACACACGCACACACTTATATTGACACCAAGCAACAAGCAGATAGCGCGTTCATCGTTATTACACACATATACACACAGTCCGAACCGCGCTCCGCACAATCGAGTCATAAGAGAAAACCAAAATAGCCCCCCGGCCCTCGAAAGATGAGTGAGGTGTGTGTTAAGGCCGGGTGCGTATCGTTATGACTCGCCCGGGGCTGCAGCAAGAAGAGGACGGCAGGGTGGCAACTTGAGACGCCTCGCAGAACTCGTTCGGCGACTTGACGGCTCCGTTGTCACGCACCCGAGCCAGGACGGGAAGCTCCCGCCCCAGCAGCTGCAGCATCGGCGTCTTCTCCTCGCAGCACCCCCTCGAAAACCAGCAGCTCACAGCAGGCTGCTCACCCCGCGGCACCTCCAGATGGCAGCGCAAGGCTGCCTCTCCGCCGCGATGTCGAAGATGGCGGCGTCCTCCCGCCGCGGTGAAGACAAGATGGCGGCTTCCCGCCGTTTCTCCCCTGCCACGCCCAAGATGGCGTCTTCGTGCCACGTGGCAATGGCGCTGGCAGCGCAGGAAAGGCAGAGGCCTGCGGATCACCACCGGGCCTCCCCGACGTCGTCCTCGGCGTGGTGAACTCACACAGTTGCGCCAGCACGATTTTCAAGGTCCCCATCTGCATCGCCATCTGTCTCCATCGTAAGTTGGCGTCCTCCGGCTGACAGGTCCACCGACGCGGCGACACCTTGCTCACCCGGACCCGTACTCGTTCCAGAACGGATCTCCTCTTCCATCGCAGGCAGGTCCACCGTCTGAGGAAGGTCGTCGTCGTCGGATGATGTAGCAGGAATATTCTTTTTTTTTCTTCTTTCTCTCAGTTGTTTTGAGATGCCGTTTCACTTCTGACTCCAGTGTAATAAAATGACTTAGACACTTCTTTCTGTCTTCGTGTCCTTTATTTGGGGTTCGCGTTCTCCTTCCCACACGGCACTCCTCCTGAGACTCTCTCCCTGGCAGCCCCACATCTGCCTTCGCTCCCGTAGCCTTCCACGCTCCTGCAGCTCCGCTGCAGGCTCTTGGTGCAGCCCTCCGGCTGCCCCCACAGCAGCTCCATCGCTGCTCCCTGTTCCTCCGTGCGTGGCGATCTCGCCACCTCCCAAGTTAGCCCTTCGTGGCCTCTATGGCTACCTCGCCATCTCCAACCTCAATCCTCCATTCTCTCTTCCACCCCGCTGGCTGGCACCGTCATGAGCCCCTCAGCCACCAGGCTGAGGCACGGCGACCACCCAACGTGTTCACCACCCTTCACTCCCCCGACTCCCCAGATAGCTTCCTGTCTCCCCGCTATAACTTCTCCCCCACATCACCCTGACTCCTCCCTCTCGGATCGTCATATCCGCCCCGCCCATTTACGCCCGCATTACATATTTACTCACTACGGCTTTTCACATAATGCCCCGAATACGGCATTCACTCCAATTTTAAGGGGCATGGTAGCCAGCATTGGCAATTCAGCGCTTTAGCGGTGAGCGTGGATTGTGTGGATTTGCGAAACTCCGAAGCCCACCGAACTGCCAGGTATCGGACGGGTTCACAAAGCCGTTCCACTTTACCCATCTGTGTGGGAGACTTTGAATTGTATCCCCTCGTATGCGTAGCTTTTCTAATTTCCTCCCATGAGAAAAAAAGTAATGAACAGAATATCCTTATGTAGGTCCCTCCTTTAAAAGAGTCGTAGGGATTATTGAGGCTTTCCGGAATAAATGAATCATGAACATTAAACAGATAACGCACACTAAATTTTGTGGCAGCGTGGCTCAAAGGGCTAAAATAAAGCACAGCATGGGAATTGCAAAGAACCGGGATTTGTTCTATGTAGGTTTGTACCACAACGTGTTCAAGTGGATGAAGGTCGTTGTCTCAACCCCATCACGAATAACTACAAAATATCATCAAATCAATCTAAACATTTGTATTACTTAATTTGACTTAGTCCAGCTCTGATAATAACAAAAAAAGAGTTTGATTTAACATGTAAGCTTTCGCGACCAATGATATTCATGATAACATGTTTTTGTATTGAAATGTATTAAAATGTCTTTAAAATGTGGGTCATGAAATTACTACATAAGTAGTTCCGTGGAGTCAAGTTCTCAGCCCCAATCTCCGGCACAGGATGGTTCTTCTTTTCCCTCTCATCAGTTCCCGAGCGAGGATGTAACTCAAACACATTCCTGCGGAGGGAGCTGGTAGGAACGTTGGGTTGCTCGGTCAATGGCCAGGGTCAATGGCGGCGTGATGTATTCCGCAAATATGGCCGACTGTGAGGGCGGGCACAAGCCGGCGTGAGTAGGTTAAACGTTGAGTTTTATAAGGGCACCACGGGGTGACCAGCCCCTCCCCACCCAGCCCCATCCCACCCACCTCTCACCCAGCCCCACCCTCCCCACCCAGCCCCTCCCCACCTAGCCCCTCCCCACCCTCCCCACCCAGCCCCTCCCCACCCTCCCTTCTCCACCCAGCCCCACCCCTCCCATTTTTGGAGGCACGACGGACGAACACAATAATCCCCTGTGGGCTGGTGGAACCAGGTGGTTCCTACCAGTATTATCTCCACCATTGTCTGCTCTACACGATCATTGTACCTTCGGTCACACTTATCCCATTAGTTCCATGGTGCAGTTAGGCAACACGGTTCTGAATGGATTTCTCTTCACTTCACGACGTGATTCCAACAGCACAACTTGAATATAACATATCAGCAGAACTTCATTCAATGTTTCCACATCTAATTGCAAATACGTTTTAGTCCATCGACTTGTTGGCTTTTCCGACCATTAGTATCAATCAGCATTTAATACTGATGTAGGGATTATTACGGGAGAAACGGCGGACAACAAACACAGGGGTGTCGGCACTCACATACACGGGTGGTCACACCGACGTCCGCATCCGTTATTGCCCACGCCCCCAGCCCTCGGAGGTGATCCCTATAAAAGGTGGAGACCCAAAGAGCTCGAGGCAGTTCGACACGAAGCTGACCAGTGAAGATCCAAGACTCGGAGATTAGGCCCTGGGACTCCCCGGTCTCGCCGTCCTTATAAGGGCCGAGCCGGGTAAGCCAGCGGCGCGGCCCAAAAGCTTCCAGACCGCTGCCCTTATCAGGGCAAGGCTGGTTAGCTGGTGCCGAGATCTGTGCTTGCCAGGGCCAGATCAGTCAGCCTCCCGTAGCCCAGTAGAGGAGGACTGGGGAATAGGACAGAGGGCTTAGTACTAGGGTGGGTTTCCCATAGTACGGGTGAAAGGGGCCGATACCCCTTCAACTATTGTGCCTGTCCCTGGGTTAATAAACAGAGTGTGCCTCAACTTCGACATCGTCTCCTCGAACTTACTACACTAATATTAAGCTTAGTTTTAAATTGTTTAAGCAAGCAAACCCTGTCCTGGTTTCAACCTTCTGGGTCTCATCAGCAGTCACGCTTGTTAAACTAAATTAATGCCACTGGATTACTGTACACGAAAATACGTTTGTGTTGAAAAAAACCATCATTATTATTGATTTGTCTTCAAATGCAAAGATCACTCGTATAGCCTTAAAAAACTGTTGGGGCAAGTGCTGTTAGTGAGCACCTATGAAGGCCGGCACAGCACAGGAAGGGGTTGGTGGCCAGCATCGCGCCCAGCCGCCTTTGTCTTCCCAGTGGCGATGTTTACAGGTACTCATTTGAGGCTGAGTCGACCTAGGGGAGCAGGCCCAGGACCGGTTCAGATAATCGTCACTGGTGTTGTTGACCGTGAGCGGTCAACAACACCAGTGTCGCCGGGTTCGTTGCGCAGTTGCGCTACACCACCGCTCCCCACTCACACGCGCACGCACGCATCATCTCCTCCTGCAGACGGCGTGATCAAGTGGTGGGAGAGCGAGACGGGGCGGCTGCTCTTGACGAGCTCGGAGCACCAGGGCTGGGTCACCCACTTCGTCTTCTGGCACGAGGCCAAGTTGCTCTTGTCCTCCTCCAACGATGGCTCCATCGTGGCCTGGTCGGCAGCCGCCACGCTCCTCGACAGAATGCAGGTGAGGACGGCTGCTTGCGTTGTGGCCGAAACGTCGTGAGAATTATTGTATTATGTTTTATTGTTATTATTTTATTACTTCCCTTCTACGTGACTTTACCGAAAGAACCAAGAAGAAGAATTCAGGTGGCCATTCGGTGCACTGAAACGGCAGCGAACCCGCGTCTCTCGTTGCCACACATGTATGCAATTTCTATTTAAAGCTTTCGGGACTGCAGGGATTCATCTTCTTGGTTCTTTCGGTAAAGTTACGTAGAAGGGAAATAATAAAATAATAATAATAAAATGTAATAAAATAATTCTCACGACGTTTCGGCCACAACGCAAGCAGCCGTCCTCAGGTCTGTCGGGGAGACAGACCTGGTCTTCACCTGAGGACGGCTGCTTGCGTTGTGTCCGAAACGTCGTGAGAATTATTTTATTATGTTTTATTTTCATTATTTTATTATTTCCCGTCTACGTGACTTTACCGAAAGAACCAAGAAGATGTATGCAATTTTTCTTTTCTTTTACCAGGTAAGGCCCACTGAGCTATATAACTCTTTTTCAGAAGCGGCCTGGCCACAAATAATAGCTCAACTAAGTGGCTTATCACGTGCAATTGTATATCAGACAAATACACGTGGAGGGGAAAACCAGAGGGCACGGAGAAAAATCCACACGACCACGAGAGAACACCCAAACTTCAAATATACTGCAGGTGTCAGGGTCGGGATCAAACCCACGACCTCCCGTATACCGAGTGAAGTAGTTAACATCTCGCCACCGTGGTGCCCTGTAACAGCATACACTGTGCAGTCATGTATCGATAGACGAGTAGATGCGTTGCTGGAGCTACGCTCGTATATTGAAACTTCGTATAATGAATAACTTGTAACAGTACGATGAGGATGCGCTCCCAACCTTCGTAACTTCCTCTTGCATACTCTTAACACTTCATAACTGACCATTCGTATTGGAAATTCATATTATGTTTTATACTGTACAATATAAAAAAAAACTGACGTAGTTATAATAACTTAGTGAAGAAACAATGTTACGATTTACATAGTACCGGAGATCGACAATTTATTTTTTATTGAGTGATCTCAGTGTTTACTTATTATTTTACTAAATTTTTACCGTTAAAATAATGGTAATACATCCAAAGTCCGTTTTACTGCAACCTCGCATATCGAATATTTGCACACCGAGAGCATGAACACAATTCATCATCATTCATTCTCTCGCGGATTCATTAGTCCCCGTTGCAGCGCGCAGAGTAAAATAACAACACGGGTCACCTTGCTATGGAACAGTTCCCTTCTTTTCTGTCCACTGCTGGATGGCAAGGCCCCCCCACCATGCCCTGTGAGCCATTGGAGCTATTTGACCGCTCGGTGCGGGTTGGTGGACGCAGGCAGCGTAGTGGTGGCAGCAGAGCGCAATAAAAGCAAAATGGATTTAGCTGCATTGCCTCTGCTGACGACGTAGCCCTGCAACAGCCCATTAGGCGCGGCGGTCGTCTAAACCGTGCGCTGTCTAGGCCAGGGGTCGGCAACCTGCGGCTTCGGAGCCGCATGCGGCTCTTCAAGGACTGCTGCTACGTGACGTTATTCATCAAGGGCCACCTCGTGCATTGTGGCTCTTGAAATGTTGAGGGTTGTTTTTTTTTTACTACCGAATTTTATATTTTTAAAAATGCCTCCTTCTTGTTAATTTGGTTTCCCGACCTCTGGTCTAGGCTCCACCCGGCTTAGCTGTCCAGATCTGATGAGCAGAATGGGCACTTTGCGGGCGATTTGGTCATTTGGCAGCTGACAGTATCACACACACACACAGAACGGTTTCCCATTTCCGAGCCACATGGTCTGCAGCCCCATAGCACCTGTACATGGCCCTGCGACCGTCCTTCTGAACACTACCCTTGCTCAACTCGGCTCGGCATCTGGAGATCTGACGAGGCCATTGCCCGCGGGCGATTTGGCTCACAGGTCGTTTGAAGAGAATCCACGTGCGCGCACGCACAGCCACGCGCGCATCGGTCCCATCCCTTTGCGTGATCCAGCACCCCCCGTGCGGCAAGCCCAGACGCAGGCGCGTGCCCGTTGCAGGTGGGCAGCTCCGTGTACTGCATGGCGGGGCTGGGCCGCTGGCAGAAGTTGGCGTGCGGCACCCGGTGCGGCTTGCGCGCCGTGCGTCTCAGCGACGGCAAGGGCACGGCACGCGTCCTGGACTCTCCGGCCAGCCTGAGCGTCGCGGCGGACAAGCACGGCGCCGCGGGCGTCGTGTGCTGCATGGCGAGCAACGACAGCCGGCTCTACACCGGCGGGTAACGCTGCACGTGTCGCTTCACCCCGGCGTCCTCCAACACCTTCCCGAGGCAGCTGCCGTGCCATGGGAAGTCTGCAGGTCTTTCGAGGACGTCGTGAAGCAGTGCTTTGTCAGTTTGAGTAACGACGCGTCTCTCGAGCATGGTTTGGATATGTACGGTGCGAACGAAGTTCAACGTACATACATCTACGGCATCTCTTTTTTTGTACCAGTATCACCCCTTTTTGATATGAACATCGGCGTTACAATGCTCAAACACTCAATACACATACTCTTAGCTTTTTTCGGTAAAGTCACGTAGGTAAAAAATTAAATTAAAATTAATAAAAGTGAAATAAAAAATCACGACGTTTCGGAGGCAACACAAGCTTCCGTCTTCAGGTGGAACCGTCACAGCACGATTGCTGTATCAAGTAAAGAGGATTGATTTTACTTTTATTAATTTACATTTTTACCTACGTGACTTTACCGAAAAAACCGAAGAGTATGAATCCTTGCAGTCACGAAAGCTTCAAATCTAGACCCAATACACACCAATTATTAAAGCCTTCAGATTACACAACTGTATGTGCCCAGGTCTTAACGTGCGCCCTCTGTGTTGTGACCACACACCGCGTGGGTCATGCAGCTACGGGGGGACGCTGGCCATCTACGACGTTAGCTCGCCGGCGGGGGAGTCCGACGTTTCGCTGCTGCACTGCAACCCTCGCGCACACGACGCCGGCATCACCTGCCTGGCGCTGCCCACTGACGATCGCAGCACCTGGTGAGAACCGCCGCTATACCTGCCAAAGACAAAGATTCCCCCCCCCGTATAGCCTGGATAGACTAAATGGGGCAAGTGCTGTTCATGAGCAGCACCTATGTTTCACCACTGTTGCATTGCTTTTATAGCTTTATTTTGGTGATTTTCGAAACGTGTTTTGGTTTGGCCATGTTTGTTTGTTGTAGTACAGAGTTACACTGATGGCCTTAATCTAAGTTGTCTTGTGGTTGTTGTTGTTGTTTGACTTGCATCCCACTGGGATTTTTGCACGCAGTGTTGGTGTACGGTGCTTTTTCTGTAATATTTTGCTGTCTTTTCTGTTTGCACATATTCACTTTAAGATGTGTTCTTGTTCATGTTTTTGTTTTCTGTTTGTTGCGGTTGCACCCGATTCAAGAGCCGAATGGCTCACAGGGCTATACCTAATCAATGAACTTGAACTTGAACCTATGAAGGCCGGCATGGCACGCGATGGGGCGAGTGGTGGCCAGCATCTCGTCCCGACCTGCCCTTTTCCTCCCAAGTGACGATGTGCACGATGTACTCATTTGAAGCTGAGTCGACTTAGGGGAAGCCCAGGAACAGTTCAGATAATAATAACTGGTGGTGGCCGTGAGCGGGACCCGAGTTGGTGGATTGTTACATCGCAGGAAAACATCGCCACGATAATCATTTACTGGCTAACTATGTGTCTGGAGAGAGTTTTGGGCTGAGCCTCAAATGATCCTCATGCTCACAAATAAAAGCCTCCATTTGCACTAATGAGTCCCTGGCACTAATAATCTCCGTTGCAAATTTCCAAAACGCTGTGATAAGCAAGGCACGCAGAGTAACATAGACAACAAAGCAAGGCAAGCGGATTTTTGTTGTGACAGACATTTCCATACTATGGTTTTTACATCTACATGCAATTTTCTCTTGTCAGTATTGCCATAAAGAGAGAGTATTTCTACAAGTAATACACATTTTACTTGATCAGGAAAGCCTCGCTGAGCCTCTAGACTTTCATCTTAATTTGGAGCTTTCGTGACTGCAAGAATTATTCTTTGGTTCTTTCGGTAAAATCACGTATAAAGATAAATAATAAATTAAATAATAGCATACTACGACGTTTCGATTGCAACACAAGCAATCATCATCAGGTATAAAAGAAATAGCAACAAAAATCTAACCAGAAAACTATAGACAGACATATAAGCAGACAGATATCATAAAGATTCACAGAGAGAGAACACGTATCGGCACAAAGAGAAAGAGATCGTCTCTGTGACGAGGCCTCTCGACTTTACCTGGGACCCGAGTTGGTGGATTGTTACATGGCAGGATTCGTGAGAGGTATCTGCTGTTTTGCTCCAGCAGTGATGATGACAGTGCCCTGCGCGATGCTCTGCGTGCTGACATGCTGTGTACATCTTCTTGGTTCTTTTGGTAAAGTCATGTAGAATGGAAATAATAAAATAATAAAAAATAAAACATAATAAACATATTATTTTATATTGTTTTATTTTTTTTATTTTATTATTTCCATTCCACGTGACTTTACCGAAAGATTTCGATTTAAAGCTTTCGTGACTGCAGGGATTCATCTTCTTGGTTCTTTTGGTAAAGTCACGTAGAAGGGAAGTAATAAAATACCGAAAGAACCAAGAAGATAAATCCCTGCAGTCACGAAAGCTTTAAATCGAAAAATGCCATGTACAAGCAGAGTGCATTGCGTCGCCACCGCAGGCTGCTCACCGGCTCGTTCGACCGCACGGTGAGGCTGTGGTCCCGCGAGGGGCAGCCCCTGCAGCGTCTGGGCCACTTCCTGAGCGCCGTGACGGGGCTCTGCTACGTGCCGAGCGCGCACGCCGCCTGGGCGCTCAGCGGCGCCTGCAGCCCCGTGCTCATCGACCTGCGGTCGGGAGAGAGCGTGCGTGGACGCGCGCGCGCGCACACGCGCACACTCATACATACACACATGCACATACACGCACTCATTATACATACACACACGCACATACACGCATACACACACGCACTCATTATACATACACACACGCACATACACACACGCACTCATTATACACACATACACACATACGCACACGCATCCATTATACATACACACACATGCACATACACACACGCACTCATTATACACATATGCACATACACACATACACACACGCACTCATCATACATACACACACATGCACATACACACACGCACTCATTATACATACATACACACATGCACATACACACACGCACTCATCATACATACACACACAAAGATAAAAGACAAAGATCCCCCGTATAGCCTTAACAGACTGTAGGGGCAAGTGCTGTTAGCGAGCACATACACACACGCACTCATTATACACACATACAAACACATACACACATGCGCATACACACGCACACGCACTCATTATACACACACACATGCACATACACACACGCACCCATTATACATACACGCATGCACGCACGCACTCATTATACACACACACAAATTCACATACACACACGCACCCATTATACATACACGCACACATGCACATATACACACGCGCGCACACGCCCCCATTATACATACACGCACGCATATACACACGCACGCATATACACACGCACGCACGCGCGCACACGGTTACCCAGATTGGGCTGATAAATGTCACTGCATCCGGCGCTTTCGGATGGCTCTTCTGCGGCCGTCTGGAACGCTCTTCCTTTCCGATATTAGGAAGCCACTGGAGCTATGCACTTTTAAATCATCGTCTAGATTGAAAGCGCATTTCTTTAGGATTGCTTTTTGTGTTTAGTTTGTTGTCCTTCCCCCGCACCTCCGATTCACGCGGTTGGCTACGGACGGTGCTAAAGGAGTTCAACGTACGTACATACACGCCACGGGCACAGGGCTCGGCGACCTGGTGCTCTGAGCCACGTGCGGCTCTTTAAATGAGCGCTGCTTTGTGACCGTCATTTATTAAGGACTAACACCGTCTCGCGTTCACGTGCATTGAGGCTCTTGGAATATTGAGGGTTTTATTTTTTACCGAACACGAAAAAATAGAAATATCACTTCTTTGTTATTTCGGTTGCCGACTCCTGCAACTAGCAACAACAGCGGACGCGACCTAACGAGCGTTTGAATAGACAGAGCAGGACACCTGTGCGCGGTGGGCCGTGTGTGTGTGTGTGTGTGCAGGTGTCCGAGTTCGTGGACGTCTTCTCCGACCCCGTCGAGGCCACCAGACACCGGCTGCAGCTGCTGGCTTACCTGCCGGAGCTGGGCCAGGTCGTAGGTGCGCACGTGCACGCGTTCTACCGCACGTGCGGCAGATGTTGTAATTTAAACGCTCGCTCTTCGCGAATACAGAGTAGATGAGCGTCTCCTTCACGTATCTGTCTCCCCCACGTGTAAAAAATATATATACAATGAAGGTATTTCTTACGCAACCTATATCGGGATCCACGGCCCTCTGGGAGTGCATAATTTCAGCAGCATTGATTCAATGCAAGCAATCTCTGGACCGGTCTCGACTCCCATTGTCTCATCAGCAGTCAGGCTTGCTTTAATCAATGCTGGATTACTGGCAGATGATAAACGCAAAATAGTGCAAACACCCTCTCTTTAAAATATGGGTCCTAAATCTTGACTTAAAGTTTTCGTGGCTGCAGGGATTAATATTCCTTGGGTCTTTCGGTAAAGTCACGTAGATAGGAATCTACGTAGATAGGAATATATCTACGTGACTTTCGGTAAAGAATATATGTGTCCTAGTCCAGAGCTTGCCTCCACCGTAGCACTGTAGTCGTATGTTCCAGAATTGGCTCGTGATTTGTGAGTTTTTAAAGTCCAGTATATGTCATAGAACATGGGTTGGTAACCAAACTAACAAGAATAGCATTTTTTTTTCTAATTCGGTAACAAAAAACACACTCTATTCCAAGAGCCACAATGGTCCTTAATAAATAACGCGATAAAGCAGCAATCCTTAAAGAGCGGCTTACGGCTCCAGAGCTGCTGGTTGCCAACCCCTGTTATAGAAGCAATAAACATTAGATTACAAGCTGTACATGAGCTGCTAAATCCATAATTCATGGAAATAACGGGGTTCCTATTAAGAACACGGATATTCCTGGGTGGGATAAGAGGAAGGGGGGGGGGGGGTGTCATCGCTGAGTCACGCCGGTGTTTGGAGTGAGGGAGACACCGGAGTGAGTTCAGCTCGACTCGTGCCGCTGTGATCTCCTCGCAGCGTCCACAAGCCGCCGGCAGCTGCTGGTGTGGAAGTTCGTCGCCTCGGGCTGCCTCACGGCCCTGCGCTGCCTTCAGCCCGTGGAGAGCCTCGCCTACAGTGAGGATCACAGCACGCTCACCAACGCGACGCAAAGCAAAGGTCCCCCGTGTAGCCTTCAACAGGCTGGTGGGGCAAGGGCTCATATTTTTAGGTTTCTTCGGTAAAGTCACAGATATCGTGCTGTGACGGTTCCACTTGAAGACGGAAGCTTGTGTTGCCTCCGAAACGTCGTGATTTTTATTTTATTTTTATTTTACTTTTAATTAATAAAAAAATGTTTTACCTACGTGACTTTACCGAAAAAACCTAAGAATATGAATCCTTGCAGTCACGAAAGCTTCAAATCTAGGGGCAAGGGCTGTTCTCGAGTTGGCACCGATGAAGGCCGGCACGGGCACATGAAACGGCATGTTTATGTGTCCGCAAAAAGCGGTTGTCACCAGATTTTTTTTTTATGCACAGAAAAAATTGCTAAATCGGAAGGAAATAGATACAATGTACAACTTTTTTTCCCCCCGTAAAATATTGAAATAAACTTCCTTTGCTCCACCGCATGACTTAGGCCAGAAATATTTCGTTAAACTGGTACTAAAATATGGTGCAGAATCTACGAACGGCTTCTTTGGAACCACTTCTAAAATGCGTATATATATGTTTTAAACAAACAAGCGCAAAAAGCCGGTGCGATATTAATCTCATGTAGGGGTGCTGTGAAACAGAGGGTATTTTTCACACAACGCCTCGCTACGGATTTCACAACATCTCAAGGGCGCTTCGCAGCGCCGCTGTCTTTTCACCGACTGTTTCTACATCGTCGTTTTCGCAGCGCGGAAGGCACCCATGCTCATCTTCAGCGGTCTCGCTGACGGGTCGGTCATGAAGTGGGAGAGGCTGCAGTCCAGCCACTTCATCTACAGGTATTTGCCGCTGCTACTTGTCCGATTTGAGGACGCAGGTCCGTGTTCCCTGCTATGTGGAACCCTCAACGGGTCTACCTCGTGAAGAGTCGTCGCTCGACCAGCAATGCGATCAGACTAACAACGGCACAGTAGTGGGCAGTGAACCGCTCTAAAAGCTCCGGAAATTCTACGGGGACATGGAATAGCTTTCAGGACATGCACAAAGGTGTGTATTGCCTTGTGTACGAGTGCTCAGCCTTATCGCCAACTCAATGAGTTGACAAGACGTGGTCACACCACTTGAAGCAATGTACTACTGTAGCATTAACTAAAGCCATATCCTTGGTTGCCGAATCTGAACAAGTTGCTATTCTTTTTCGATTTAAAGCTTTCGTGACTGCAGGGATTCATGTTCTTGGTTCTTTCAATAGAAGGGAAATAATAAAATAATAAAAATAAAAGATAATAAAATAGAATTCTCACGACGTTTCGGCCACAACGCAAGCAGCCGTCCTCGGGTGAAGAACAGGTCTGTCTGAAAGACAGCGTCTGAATGGACGCTGTCTTTCCGACAGACCTGCTATTCATCTAGCCACGCATAATATAGATCTGCTAGGACCTGCTCAAAGCTTGGCCACACTCTAAACTAATAAAAAAAAAACTAATTTTACCAGGTAAGGGCCACTGTTATTGTGACCCGGAGGAGAGAGAGAGAGTAAAGACCTCTGTGCCCGGTCCCGCTGATCCCGTGCGCTGTGAACGCGTTTCAGCTGCGAGAAGTTTCCGCTGCCCGGCACGGCCAAGAATCTGGTGGTGCCCTCTTCGTCGCGTCAACGGCCACGGAGGGCACCGCACGGGGGCCCCGTGCCACCGGGCGGCTCCGACGGCGGTGGCGGTGGCGGCGGGGGGACCCCCCGGCGGCCCGTGACTGCGCCGGGCGACCTGGGCTGGACGCGGGGCCAGCGCCAGTCGAGCCGCCGGAGCGTTCCGGGGCAAGCCGGAGAGGAGAGGCACAGCCGCAACGTGGCCATCACACGGTGGGGGGGCAGCTCTCTAAGTCGTTGATCGTCGTTGTCGTGATGCGTTCGATGGGTCGCGTAGCCCGCATTGCCCCGAGCACAGCTTCTGTGTGGCTTGATACGAGAGGGCTAAAGAGCGGGCACGGGCTAGAGAAGACATTTGAACCGATGTGGTTATAGGAGGATGTGGAGCCGAGTGGACCTGCCCGTGACCGATATCGGCGGTGTCAGGATTTGTCTGCGTGGAGGAATGATTGCGAAGGACGCTGCTGGGCAATTGGAGGCAGACGTCCTCCAGCAACAACGGAGGGTGGAGGAGCGATGCTCATTACAACGAGTGGAGAGCTGGCCGATTAAAACACAGCAAGCTGCACAGGTGGTGCATCTGCCAATTATCTTAGTTAATTAATCCACAACACTTGGGTCTGATCTCATGACATCAAGCCTTTATTAACACTTCACGTGGCTTTAAAGTGCACCTAGCCTGGCACAAGCGTTGTGGTAACGTCACAGCCGAGTTGTGAATGACGGCTGCTGTTGTGTATCTGTGTGTGTACGGCAGCGTAGTGGCGAGCACGCTGTGCTTATGACATGAACCCAATGACCCAAGTTCAACACCAGTAGCGATTATTGGAACCGGTCCCCTAAGTCGACTCAGCCTCAAGTGAATACCTAGTGCGGTGTGTGTAAACATCGCCACCGGGGAGACAAAGGCGGCCGGGCGTGATGCTGGCCTTCATCCTCGTGCGCCGTGCCGGCCTTCATAGGTGCTGTTGCCCGCTAACAGCACTTGCCACAGCTGTCTGGTTAAGGCTACACGGGGTGATGGTGGTGGTGGTGGGGGGTACGTGACCTTTGTCTTCGTGTGCAGGGCGGTGTTCGTTGAGGAGCGGGACCTGCTGGTGCTGGCCTGCGAGGATGGCCGTGTGTACGTGTGGGGATTCGACGAGACCGGCGTCAGCGCGCTCCAGAGAGCCCCTGGGTGGTCGCCAGATGAGGCCACGGCGCGCTCGCTGAAGGTGGACGCGAGAGATGACGCCCCCCCCCCCCCCCACCAGAAAATACCATTCGGGTTGCTCGTAGATTGGGGTCGGTGTGACCCGCCGCGACTCGTAGCCACAGCCCTTCACGAGGGGTATGTTGGATGTGGTGTGCCGGGCGTGGAAATGCATGATAACAACGAAAACTATTTTTACTTTACCAGGTAAGGCCCACTGAGCTATGTAGCTGTCTTTCAGAAGTGACCTGGCCAGAAATGTATAGCCCAATGAAGTGGCTTGTCATGTGGAAATGTATAGCAGCTAAATAAACGCATGTTGATTCTAAATGTGGAGGATAAAAATCCACGTAACCATGGGGAGAACACGCAAACTCCAAATATCCAGGCGTCAGGGTCGGGATTGAACCCACGACCTCCTGTATACCCGGCGAGGCCGTTATCATCTCACCATCGTGGTCGCCAAAAATATTTTGTGTATCACCGGCCTGGACGGACACGGTTGAAAGTTGGCCCTGACTCATGCTCGCGCTTGACTTAAGCGAGCGTCGTGATTTTCCCGGCAGCGCTTCGCGGTGCTGCTGAGCGAAGCGGAACTGCGGTCGCTGATGAAGACGCTCAGGGACAACGGGGAGGACCGGGACAGCGTCACCAACCGCGTGGCCGGTAGCGCCCGCACCGCACCACGCAGCCTCCTGCAAGCGTAGCACAGAGGTTGCAAGCGGGTACCCGATACCCGTACCCTACCCGATACCCGGCTACCCGTACCCGGCCGGGTACGGGTAGCCGTTTGCGACCCTGGTGCGGCCGGGTACGGGTAGGCCGTGAGTCACTGGTGAGTAACCGTTTGTCACTCATTTCGGGTAGGGTACGGGTACGGGTCGGAAACGGGTACCCGTACCCGGCCGGGTACGGGTACGGGTACCCATTTGCGACCCTGGTGCGGCCGGGTACGGGTAAGGAATCAAAACCCGTTTGCGACCTCTAGCGTAGCACAGAAGCGACATCACGATGTGCGCTCCGGCATGTTCGGCTACCCCGGCACTTGCACCGGCAGGGCTTCATTTCTTCCTAATTATTTTTTTCCAAAGTAGCACAATTCCTGCTGCAAGTGGCACATGACAAATCAGCCATAGGCGTGGTGAGATGGTAACTATCTCACCTGGTATGCAGAAGGACATGGGTTCGATCTCGACTGTGACACCTGTATATTTTGAGTTTGCATGTTCTCTGTCTCCCAGGGGTCGCGTGGGTTTTTTCTCCGGGTCCTCCGGGTTTTCCCTCTACATTTAGAAACACACATTTCCACATCATGATAAGCAACTTCATTCAGCTATCATTTGTGGCCTTCTGAAAAATAACTAAGTGGGCCTTACCTGGAAAAAATACAAAGTTTAGTTTAGTTTGAGTTGAGTAAATAGCCATGCAAATGAGTTGACATCCTACTTGCTGTGCTCTACCGCCATCTACTTACCACTGTTGTAGCCCTAAACTCTGGGAGTTTCACGTGCGTGTGATAACACTGGTCAACACACTTTTTCTGGCATAAGGTATTCCAACGGTCTTAAGGTACTTTTGGGGTGCTGATTCCAAATCTGGCATCAGTTTTTGTCTATCACATCAGGTTTTTGAGATATAAAATATTACATTTTCAATAAAAACTGCAGAAGAAAAATATTAAATAAATGTGGATATCTACATAAATGATATTATAAACACGCTATCCTAAAAATACAGCACCATATTTTAACACTAAAGCAGTCACTGACTCGCAACAACTCGCAATCATAAGTGACAGAGTTAATTTCGGGAAAAATCAATGAAAATGGGGTATGCCGATAGCATAAAAATGAGATGTGATGGAGCAAATCTGAGATCAGATTTGGAATCAGCACCCTGAAATTAGTCTAAAACAGCTGCAAAAGTCCAGGCCAGAAAAAAATGGTTTTTTTTTGTGTGACCAGTGTGATCGATGTGTGATCCACCAACCATGCCTCCAACTCGCTGGATGTTTCTCGGGTGGATTTTGATTCCCCCCTCCAAAGTTAAAATAATCTCCTCCCTAGTAGTAGGTTTTTACCCTTTAAACTGGTACAAAACTGACACCTTTATACAAGGCATCATGTTTGCAATAACCACAACACAAGCAGTCTCCATTGGTGTTGGACCAGATGACGCCAAAAGGCGTCTAGGCTCTAAGGAAAGCTGTCTCGGGTGTGGACCAATCAACTTCAAGGACAGTGCATATCATTATCATTATCGGAGTTGTTTCTTTTTGTTTGCATTTTGACTGCTTGTGTTGTGGTTATTGCAAACATGATGCCTTGTATAAAGGTGTCAGTTTTGTACCAGTTTAAAGGGTAAAAACCTACTACTATATTTTGCCACTGGTAAAGGAGATGTCTCATAGAGTAAATGCCAATCTCCTCCCTGTCATAGAGTGCCCTCTAGCGGGTAACGTCACCCTGCAGGCGTGGCAGTGGTCTTTTTCTTCTTTTAGTACGGCTGACGTAGATGCAGAGACAACAACGACAATTTCACATTGAGGTGGTCAAGCCGGATAGCCACGTCAGGAGTAGTGTAATCGCTGTGATGTCGCCTTCGTATTTGTGGATCAGGCATTGCGTCGTTACATGTTGTACAATATGCTCTGGATGGCCACAGGCGCACACGGGAGTGTTGAACATTTTCCATTTGTGCATCAGGTATCCGCATCTGCCATGGTTTGTGCAAGTGCGGTTTAGGATGGACCATGAGATCCGTGGAAGATCAAACCCAGGGGATCTTCTGGGTTTGATGTTTTTGAGTTCTTTTGAACTCCATTCCACTCACTAAGCTTCATCGGTGGTTGAGCTCGCATCGTTGAATGTTAAGCGCATGGGTCCAAAAGGGCTTGCTTGCGTGACTTCAAGCGATGACGAGGGACGTCATTGAGGTCCTGATGATTGTGAAGGCGACTGTCTTGGCAGTGGTGAGCGAGCGCGTGTTTTTGGCGTGGTGTGTTCTTGGCGTGGCAGGGTTTGTGTGCAAGTCCACGCTCTGCGCTCACACCGCCTGCGTGAGCGCCATCGTAGTGGTGGGGCCGGACGGCGACGATGGGACCACGTATCTGGTGCGACGATGCACGCGCACGCGCGCACGCACACATGCCGACGGAAAACAAAGATCCCCCGTATAACCTCAACCAGTGTTCATAATCAACGTTTTTGGGTTTAGATAACGTTATTTATAAATGTGTCGTAATCCTCCACCACCCGACACGGCCAATCAGTAAAAAAGTGTCACGTTGACAAAAAGACAAATAGTTCACTGCTTTAGCCCACCGGTGTGTTGAAGCGTGAAACCACAACATTTACAATTTTTGAGTAGTACGACGTTTCGCTGGTAATTGCATCCAGCATCATCGGGCAATTCGCCAGAATGGCGAGGCTCTGCTCTGTCTCCCGTTCTTATATAGAGCAGCAGCAGGGTGACGTCGTCAGTAACTCATTAACTCATGTTATAAATAAGGCGATCTAAACCCAAAAACGTTGATTATGAATAATATTGGTCGCGAAAGCCTACGTGTTGAGCTCAACCAGTGTTCTTCACACATTTCCAGAGAGGGGGGCCACTTTCGCCGATAAGACGTCAGCGTGAGGGCCACCGCACCGCCTGCAAGGGGTGGATTCACATTTGGAAATTGTCGGGGGCCGCACTAAAGGCCACCAGAGCCAGTCAGTGGCCCACGGGCCTTGCAATGAAGAACACTGGCCGAAACAAACTGTTCGGGCAAATTCTGTTAGCGAGTCGCACCTATGAAGGCCGGCACGGCACACGAGGGGGTGGGTGACCAGCACCACGCCCGGTCGGCCTTTGTCTCCGCAGTGGTGATGTTTTACACATCGCACCAGGTACTCATTTGAGGCTGAGTCGACCTAGTGGAGGCCCAGGACCGGTTTAGATAATCGTCACTGATGTTTGGCCGTGAGCGGGAATCGCGCGGCGCGCTAACCACTACACTACCGCTCCCCACGCACATCCCCATCAACCAGGCGCGGTTCGTCCACTAAGTGGGCGTTGGGATGCCTCCCCATCCAGCAGCTGGAGATGAGAAGTATTTTTTCTAATAAAAATGCTTTTCTCTAAATAGTTTTGCCGTTTTTAAATTAAATTTTATTTTTATAGCGATTATTTCAAAGTGAATTGCCGAGTGAAGAAAACATTTTAACCTGTTCATATTAGAAACGGCTGCAACGTCGCAGTCTGAATTGTGCCTAGGGGAGGTCTCGGGGGGGCGGGGGGGGCTGTGACGGCGTCCGACTGAGAGATTTCCCCTACGTCCATTGCGATTAGCTCCGAGCATGTTAACCACGTCGCTCGAGACCCGTTCAGGGCGGTGAAAAAGGTGCCCGTGGCTCTAATGACGATGTCACAACGCGAGGTTGCACTGTGCAAATATTGCAAGGTCACGGCCGACACGCTCAAGGAGGAAACAGCAACAGTGATGGCAGCGAACGACGAATTGGCAACGGACACAGTGGGGTCACTCCTGAATATTCCATTTGAAAGGATGACTATGCAGGAAGAAGAAGCTGATCAATGCAATTCCCGACTTCAGCAGACGAGTGATTGAAAAGTTTGCCTTCTCATGAGGATCGACGTGCCAAATTATTGGACAAATATGCCAACGGAGAGGAAAGGGAGGCCGCTATTTTGAGTTGCCCATCTTGGAGATATTGTGTACAGTCAGCTATGTTAATGGCAACTTAATGGGTTGATTGAAATGTGGGTACGCATGTAGCCCAATAGCAATCATGTGGCCTTAAAACCAGAAATATGTGTTACATTGCACTTATAATCGTGGCTTAAACCCAAAATCAAATGTGTAGGCTAATGTCAGTATAGGCCCAGCTTTCCATTGGACAATGTAGTCAGTGTCAAGTGACGTTACAGTTGCCACACGTAACAGTGAGACAAACAGTGGCCACACAACGAAACAAGCTCTAATGAAAAGGGAAGTGAATAGCAGGGCCTGTGTACATTGCATTAATGTCGCCATTGAATACTGATCAAAGCTTTTTGTGTAGGCGGGTGTACGACGTTATGTGGTTGTTATTGTACAGTATGCGGTGTCTTGGTTGCCTTTGCTAATTTGTCGAGTCGTGTCAGCTGATCTTTAATTGTTCTTTAGGCTTTTAGCAGTGTCAAAGGGGTTGTGTGGTGTGGACTTGAGGGTCATGGGAACAGCATTTGAGTGCTGTGTTGTTTTGTTTAGTATTGTTTATAAATGCCTACCGTTCGTAGATAATACAGTTAACATCACTTTCATGGGAAGGCCAATAACATGACGAGGTTTAAAAAAATAATTATTAGAACACCGTCTTTTCAGAGGTCACTCACAACAGCCCCACCTCGTGGCAATGTCACGAACCGTCACTGCCACAAAACCCCTTTGGCATCCTACTGGCTCAGGGAATATGCATGATGCAGGCTGCTACAATCCATGATCAGTATGTTGGCCTGAATCCATTACGTACAAAGACTTAACAGTCTTTACACATACAGTCTTCATTATATACCTGCAGCAAGAGCGGCACGAATATATCCTAATTGTTTCATATTTACAAAGGGTGTGTTGCTGGCGCTAAAGTTGTGTAACTGTCAGCGGGTTTGAATGAACACTGTATCGTCTTCCCCATGCGTTTGTTCCCGTAACAACAAATATGCAGCAGTAATGCGTACACAATGGTTGTTCAATGCTTGTGATCACCAGGGGGCATTTGTGCCCCTTAGAGCAAGGCCGTAGCCATGGAGTCAACATTGGTAGGGGGGGACCAAATCTTCCAGGGGTCTGGGGGTTCTAACCCAGAAAAAAAATCTAAATTTGAAAACTAATTTCCTGCCATTTCCTGCCTAAAAAATATTTAAAAATGCACTAACGCATGGGATGGAATCTTTATTTGATTTTTACAACAATATCTAATAGGGTATTACATTGCTCTGTTTTAACTTTTTTACCATTTCTTGTTTCATTGTATGTAATGTTTGACATTAGGGATTGATAAAGTACAACCATGACCACAATCATATAAACAGAAATATATACATTGATATATATGAAGACAAGTCTAGATATTGTGGCCAAGGTTTAGCAAATTGTTTTTTTTTATTTACATAGCATAGCAATTATTATTACTTTTTGTAATATTTTTTCATAGCAATAAATTGGGGGGGGGGCATTTTGAGCATATTTGAATATTGGGGGGGGGGGCATGTGTCCCCCCCAATATATATTATAATTACGGCCTTGCCTTAGAGTTGGTGAAGCGACTACATTTGTTAGGGCAAGGTAAAGGCCAAAGAGGTTGCACAATAAGGTGCAACTATGCTGAAAGGAATACAAAATAACTTCGTGAAGCGGTCGTAAGGATTCATTTTGAAGTTGGCAATGCATGGATATAGCCTGTGGTGTGAATAAGGGTTACTTTTATTACGAAATAAAATAACGGGGTGCAAACATTTCTAAGGGGATACATTTCTCTGAATATTTGTTCCTGGGGGAACGGTAATTGTGGGAGCGTATACTCCTCTGACATCGGCACACCTCGGCCTGCCAAGCTATTGACACTGGGTTCAATTCCCGATTGTGGTTGATGGAAACCTGAGGAAAAAATCTACTTGCACTCGCGTGTTATGACCAAGTAATGTTTATATTCTTGGTTCTTTCGGTAAAGTCACGTAGAAGGGAAATAATAAAAAAAACTAATAAAAATTCTCACGACGTTTCGACTGCAACACAAGCAATCATCATCAGGTGTGAAATTATTGTTTATAGTTTTATTATTATATTACTTCCCTTCTACGTGACTTTACCGAAAGAATCAAGTATATGAAATCCTTGCAGTCACGAAAGCTTTAAATAAAAAAAAACAAATAATGTTTGTTTGTTTGACCCATGACCAAACGACCTGAAAAGCACCGGATCTCATTAGATTTCCAAAACTAAACCCACAGTGTACTCTTTGGTTCTTTCGGTAAAGTCACAGTAGGTATGAAATAAAATAAATCACGACGTTTCGGGCGCAACACAAGCGTTCGTCATCAGCTTGTGTTGCGCCCGAAACGTCGTGATTGATTTTATTTCATACCTACGTGACTTTACCGAAATAACCAAAGAGTATGGATACCTGCAGTCACGAAAGCTTCAAATCAAGATTAAACCCACAGTGTTTTTAGATGGGCAACCAACAATGGCTGATATAGGGGCAGCAGAGGGCAGGATAGCAAATTCCATTGTTCTGTACTTCCCGTACTCCCCCCACATATGAACCCCGCACTGAGCGTCTTGGTGAAGTTTGTTAAAATAACCTCCCCACGATCCGCAACTGCGTAGCAAGGCCCTCACCCGGCGTACACGGACTTGTGTGTGTGTGTGGATGTGTAACGTTTCAACATCATGATCATCAAGTATGTATGTTGAACTTCTTTCGCACCGTACGTGTCCAACCGTGCTAATCGTAGGTGCGGGGGCGGGGGGGAAGGACAACAAACTAAACACCAAAAAGCAGTTTTGAAGAAATGAGTGTTCAATCTAGATGACTTAAAAGTCCACACAGTTCCAGGGGCTTGCTAATATCGGAAGACGCGTTTGGGACCGGCCACAGAAGCGCATCTTGAAAGTGCCGCCACCTTGGTTCGCCGAGGAGCCAAAATCCTCCGCTGCGAGGTTCATCACCACGGCCCACGGGCCAGATCGTCCCCGTATGCTTCCACCGAACATCTCGTCATTTAAATCCTTTATATTAAGTTCACTTGCTTCCTTGCTTGCGCGCTTACGACCGTGCAAATCTTTCGGTCGTTTTTTAACCCACTTCCCGTGATCCAATCGAGCTGACATTTTGCACACAGCCTCGTTGTGCGTGACAATTTATTTTCGCGAAATTTTTTTTCCAACATTTTACACTTTTTAGGAAAAATAAATTATATTTAATTACCAATTGCTTAATGGTGGCAGGCAATAATCTGACCCATAGGTGGCAGCCATCTCAAGCCAGAGGATGAGAGGACTCTAGCCGCCACGCATATAAAGGATTTATAGTGAAAAACTTTGTTTTTACGGGTTAATTTTTTTTCTCCACACCCCCCACCCCCCCAAGGTGAGCGGCGGCTGGGACCGGCGGCTGTGCGTGTGGCGGCTGGAGGAAGGCGCCCTGCACGACACGTTCCTCGACACGGCGCCCGGGACGCCCTACGGGGAGCAGGAGATCGCCTGCGACGGCGTCATCATGGACATGGCCTTCTCCCCCAAACGGCACGGTGCAGCTCGTACGCTGAGGGGCGGTGGGGGCGGGGGGAGGGGTGCTGGGGGAGGGGTGCTGGGGGAGGGGGGTGGGCTACCGGGGGGCTAAGAGGTCAGAGCCCAGAGCCAGCATAGCCGAGACCCTGCTCGGGGTTGAACCGGGGGCCTCTTGGGTTCGGTGGATGTGTACAGGTTGGTCCAGATGTCTTGTGACACCCCCCCCCCCCCGTTAAATCTCTAAAACGTGATGTATTTTTTTGTACTCCAACGGGTGTGTAATTTAATGTGAGTAACATAACTTAATTAAATATCATAAGTGTGAAATTGTTCGCAAAAATGTAAGCGACATAACTAAATGAAATATCATAATTGTGAAATTGTTCGCAAACATTTTTTTCGAACATTATTTCTTGCTGGTTTATAAGCTCACTCCAAGCGGTTCTTCAAAATTATATGAACTCGTATCAGCCATCTGAAATAAACAAGGTTTATTTAAAACAGAAATGGATAAGCAAAGGAAGAATATCTTAGGGGTCAATTAATTGTGGTTCACAAGACATCTGGGGCCAACCCCGTATGTATGTATGTATGGCTCGCATAGCGGAACCTGCGTTCCAGACGTTGCTGGTCTGACGATCTCCCTTCCGGCAGTCAAACCAATCGGCAGGTTTCTTAAAACCCCTCGGGCGAAATGCAATCTTAGAGAATCTCTCCAGAACTTCCACGAAGCAGAGGCCCTTCACTAGCAATGGCGTGAGCCAGGGATTGCACTAATGATTGCGTGCAAACATCTCATAAACTTAGTTTTTCGCATATTTAGGTGTATTCCAGCACCAACATTTTTCAATATTCGGTTGACTGCTATACGATGAACATTTCTCTGTAGTAGGGTGCACGTTCTCTCAGGGTTTGCATAGTAAACGTTACTTCAATGCAGCGTTCTTCATTGGAAGGCCCGCGGGACACTGGCGGCCCCTGGTTTCAGTTGCAGTTTCATGTATTAGGTATAGCCCTGTGAGCCCATTCGGCTCTTGAATCGGGTGCAACCGCAACAAACAAAAAACTAAAACATGAACAAGAAAACATCTTAAAGTGACTATGCGCAAACAGAAAAATCCAGGAAAAAACTGCAAAGTCTTCCAGACAAAAATCACCGTACACCAACGCTGTGTGCAAAAATCCCAGTGGGATGCAAGTCAAACAACAACAACAACAACCACAAGACAACTTAGATTAAAGCCATCATTCTAACTCCGTACTACAACAAACAAACATGGCCAAACCAAAAAACTTTCGAAATCACCAAAATAGTGGCCTCTAGTGCGGCCCCTGACAATACACAACACGTGAAACACACCCCCATCATCATCGTGCTGTCAAACCCCCAATGGTTTCAAATGTTGTGGCGGCCCTCACACTGATGACGTCTCATCGGCGAAAGTGGCACGCCCTTTGAAAATTAGTGAAGAACACTGCTTGAATGGGATCTCGGCAGTATTTCTGTTCTTAAACGCAGCAGGATATGCACTTCTCTGTGAGAATTCCTGAATTGACATTTCATCTCATGATGTGACGTCAGGAGCACAGCTGGATTAAAATTGGAAAAATGTCAAGAAAATCAGCTGAATTGTGCTCGACTCATTACTCTGCGTTTAGGGCGAGTCGGCCCTTCTTCTGCCTGACAGCTGCTAGGCAAAGCTCAAGAGAGGTTCTCCAAAGCGTATCTTTACCAATCCTACCCGAGGAATGTGGATATTTTCACAACTGGCTAATGACTCTAAAAAGCAGATGAGTACTGCCCCAATTGAGGCTTCTTTTGAAAATGTGTAATCTGTACCCATGCAAGTTTGCGTTTGTGCGTGGGAAGAGGTGGTGTAGTGGTTAGCGTGCCGGGCTTCGAGCCCGGCGACATGAGTTCGATTCTCACTCACGTGCAACACCATTAAGCGATTGGCTGAATCAGTTCTGGGCCTCCCCTAGGTCGACGTAGCCTCCAGTGAGTACTTGGTGGGGTGTGTTAACATCGTCACTAGGGAGACAAAGGCAGCCGGACGTGGTGCTGGCCACCCCACCCCCTCGTGTGCCATATCGGCCTTCATATGTGCTCGCAAACAGCACTTGCCCCACCAGTCTGCTAAGGCTATACGGGGGATCTTTGTCTTTTTGTTTGGCGCGTGGGAAACCACTTTGATTTTGAGGGCACTCAAGGGCAAGGTGCTGTTAAATTCAACTCAAGACTACCTATTATGCACCAAAATAACCCAGGAACACCTGCTGTGCAGATTTTATGTGGGATGATATCGTGCTGTTATCCTGACAGCCCTGACTGGCGAGTTAAATGTTAATTTATTTAGGTGATTAAACAGGCACCTATATTATCATTCTTGTTGGCCACAGTTGTGAAACCCTCTGTAATGACCACAGCGCCTTCCCGTGTGCCATGACTCACAGTCAAGAGATATGTTGGTACTGTGTAGACAACTCATTTATTAAAGGGGTTACGCCGATTTGGTCAGTAAACCTTGATGTAAACAAGCAGGCCTATTTAGTTTGCTTGTAAATAAATAACAGGTTGCAGTTAGCACGTATATAATTGGTGCTCGGTCGGTGATGGCTTCAAGCTAATTACTATATGCATGTTATATCCATGTGACCATGCTGCAAACGAGCCAGACGCAATGCGTGTTTTATAATTAAATTTGCAGCAACAAGATCGTACACAATCAGCTCTCATGTAAAGCAGACATCAGATAACCTGCTGAGATTCATTTCCATGAAACTGGCCGACTACTTTCAAAAAATCTTCTCATGCACATTTAATTAAAACGTGGATGTTAACACACACGTGGATACGATACACAGTTATAACTCGTGTTACTAATCGTAATACATTTGTATTCATCCACGATATGTCCTGCATTTCAAGACTTTTTTCAGAAGGACCCTACATCACCATGTTTGATCAATGCCGAGAAGAATGCATATATTACGTGGGAGGAAACTGGTGTTTCGTAAATCTCATCATCGTTTTTCAATATTTGGCTAAAGTCCAATTTTGCCGAGGGTAACGCGCCACATTTATTTTGGCCGACATGGCACCGGGATATTGAGCGCTCTGCACGCGCGTATCGTGGGCGGCATTCGACATCGGCGGATGAAGCAATCGCTTCGAGCTCTGGAGCAACTTCGCGCGTACGCGGTACACAGGGATGTGTATTGTTGTTATTATAATATTCAAGAGCGATCGTTTATCTGGATTTGCAATGGTAATCCTCAGCTGTCATACGGTGATATGATTGATGGCTCCGCATTAAGACACAGCAGTCTAAATAAAGGCAACATTTAAGTCTTGTTTCATTATTACTGGATATTTGTGAAAAAATGCACTTCATCGCAGTCCTCCAGTCTAAATCAAGATTCTGCATATGTAGCGTTGTTCTTATTTCTCGTGGACATTTGAACAAGTGTTATTAGTATGGATTGTGTTTGGATATTTTTGGTTGGTGGAAATAGTACAATTATTATTTTAGGACATGGGTAGGGGGAGGGACCAGAGTGGAGAGGTGAGCAGTCAAATATTCGGCTTCGTGCCCCCAATGGGTTAGCAGCAGTTTGCACGCATCCAGGACACATGGCTAAAGTACTTGCTAACTGGTACGTTTGGTTCAGATGACAACACCTTCCTAATAGGACTGTGTCGGATGGTGGTGGGTTAACGACACATTTATATTTAACAATAATAATCATTTACATTTATAAGGCGCAATTCATCCAGGGATCTCAGTGCGCCCATGCACGAATTTATGAAATATAAACACGACAAAGTCCAGAGTCCACGGGGTCATTCATGGGAAGTGTAGAACCGGCGAGACAGGCGAGTCTTTAGAGAAGACCTAAACAGGTGCGAGTGCTCTAACCCAAAAGCCTTTCATCACGAACAACGAGTAACGCCGTTCGCTTTCAAGCGTTTCGTTTTCATCGCCATCATCGCCATCATCGTCGTCGTCGCTGTCTTTGTCACCAGGCGCGAGTTTGCCTACGCGTCGAGCGATGGGGCGGTGCGAGTGCGAGCGTTCAGACCGTGCGGGCCGGAGATGGAGCTCGTCGCGACGCTCACAGGACACGAGGCCGAGGCGACCTGCGTGCGCTGGCACGGGGTCACCGAGCGCTGGGTCACGGCCTCCCAGGACGGCACCGTGCGCGTCTGGGTACGGTGGCAACCGCGACGGGAGGGGAGGGAGGGGGGACATTTCGAATTCGCAAATGAGCAACGCACTCGCCGAGCTCGCGGTTGATTAATCATCATCGTCGTGATCATGTCACCATCATCACCATCATTGTAATCATCACCGTCTTTCTTGTCACTATTACAATCATCATCGCTACCATCATGATCATTGGAAATATGGTAATTATTGCCATTACCTTCATCATTATCATCACTGTCGGCATCATTACCGAGACTGCAATTATTTTTCGATTTAAAGCTTTCGTGACTGCAGGGATCCATCTTCTTGGTTCTTTCGGTAAAGTCACGTAGAAGGGAAGTAATAAAATAATAAAAATAAAACATAATAAAATAAAATAATTCTCACGACGTTTCGGCTACAACGCAAGCAGCCGTCTTCAGGTGAAGAATCACGCAAGCAGCCGTCTTCAGGTGAAGAATCACCTGAAGACGGCTGCTTGCGTTGTAGCCGAAACGTCGTGAGAATTATTTTATTTTATTATGTTTTTTTATTATTTTATTACTTCCCTTCTACGTGACTTTACCGAAAGAACCAAGAAGACTGCAATTATTGTCACTATCATTGTCATCACTGTCATGTTCATCACCACCACCGAAAGGATGATCATCATCATCATCATCCAGTGTATCATTGCTGATTATCAGCATCATTATCATTACTCATAAACAATATTTCAGCATAAAAGGACACTTCTGAAATGGACTCGCTCCTCCCTACATTCAGGATCTCCTTCAGCCACATATTCCATCAAGATCATTCAGTTCCTCAGATTTTGCAATGCTCAGTCCCACAGTCGAGGCTTCACACGTGGGGTGATCGTGCCTTTGCAATTTTGCTACCTAAGATCTGGAACTCCATACCCTTTGAGGTCAGGACTTTCAAGACACGATACATCTTCAAATCTCGACTAAAGCATATCCGTTTAAAATGGCTTTCTCTCTCTAGTTATTTTCAAACATCTTTCTCATTTCTTTCTTCCTCGGTTGATATTCAACTATTTCCGCCTTTTCATGCATAGCGCCCTACGAACTATTGTTTAAGGGCACTTTTAAGTTAAAATTAGGATTCTCTTCAACCGTTTTAAGGTTTGTGATATGACCACGGGTGTTGTTTCTTTGTGTGCTTGTGTGTGTGCTTGTGTGTGTGTGTGCTTGTGTGTGCGAGTGCTTGTGTGTGTGTGCTTGTGTGTGAGTGCTTGTGTGTGTGCTTATGTGTGTGTGTGCTTGTGTGTGTGCTTGTGTGTGTGTGCTTGTGGGGAGCGGTAGTGTAGCGGTTAACGCGCTGCGCTATGTTACTGGCGACCCGAGTTCGATTCCCGCTCACGGCCAACACCAGTGACGATTATCGGAACCGGTCCTGGTCCTCCCCTAGGTCGACTCAGCCTCAAATAAATACCTGGTGCGATGTATAAAAACCACTACGGAGACAAAGGCGGCCGGGCGTGGTCTTGGCCACCCACCCCCTCGTGTGCCGTTCTGGCCTTCATAGGTGCTCGCTGACAGCACTTGCCCCTCCAGTCTGTTAAGGCTATACGGGGGATCTTTTTTTTCTTTATTTTCTTTGTGTGCTTGTGTGTGTGCCTGTGTGTGTGTGTGCTTGTGTGTGTGCTTGTGTGTGTTTGTGTGTGTGCTTGTGTGCGTGTGCTTGTGTGTTTGTGTGTTCAGAGCGGGGACGGCTCGAGCTGTGAGCGGGTGCTGGTGATGCCGGGAGCCGTCGGCGCCCTATGCATCGACGAGCTCAGTGGCTGCATTGTGGTTGGGGTGCAGAACACACTCCGGTGGGTGGTGACGAGCGGCCGGTTAGACGAGGCACACTTCACGACAATTCTGCCCGGCTAAAGCCTCTGAACCAATCCACCCGCAATGCGCCCGGGCTCAGAGCATCTCGGAACGGGGTCGTGTCCAGATAGCTCGATGAAGACCTCCACGCCGCGTGGGCCGACAGGGTTACATGACCGTACTTTACCACGCTGGTCGGTGCGAATTTGTAAAGGCAGGGAACGCAGACACGGGGGGCATAGAAGTATAGTACAACATCTTCTTGGTTCTTTCGGTAAAGTCACGTAGAAGGGAAGTAATAAAATAATAAAAATAAAACATAATAAAACAATTCTCACGACGTTTCGGCCACAACGCAAGCAGCCGTCCTCAGGTGAAGAATGAGACAATGCCAAGCTAGGAGCTTATATATAAGCTGCGTTGGAGGTGGAAGAAAAAGCGCCTTAACAAAAGAATGTGCATATGAAGAGGAATTTAGCATATACATGGAAAATGCGTAGGAGGTGGGCGGGGGGGGTTTCAAAGTCATATTATGCCCATGCATTATGCAGGATCAACAGCACCAAGGGGGGGTGCAGGGATTAGCAGTAACAAAGGAAATGAATGTTAATGATATGTAGCTGCAGTTACTCAACAACAGATGATTTTTGCTGCACCAACCACTGCTGTCCGCAGCATAACATATAACGCACGTTTTAATACGTGCATTGGTTTGACATCGGATGTAACATAAGCTACGACATACATGACGGATATAAATGTGAGCGAAATTACACAGCAGTTCATTTGACATGAAACCACACAGAAAATACATTTTCGTGCAACTGTTCTGCTTTCTTGATGTTGGTGACAATTTTCTTCATTGTGAGAAATGCATCATTTCGAAACCGCTAGTTTTGCAGAAGCGGCTCAGTCGGAATCAGGATTCCATCAAGCCAGTTGATTTCCATTTAAAGCTTTCGTGACTGCAGGGATTCATCTTCTTGGTTCTTTCGGTAAAGTCACGTAGAAGGGAAGTAATAAAATAATAAAAATAAAACATAATAAAATAATTCTCACGACGTTTCGGCTACAACGCAAGCAGCCGTCTTCAGGTGAAGAATGAGATATTGTCAAGCTTGGAGCTTATATATAAGCTGGGTTGGAGGTGGAAGAAGAGCGCCTTAACAAAAGAATGTGCATATCAAGAGGAATTTAGCATATTCATGGAAAATGCGTAGGAGGTGGGCGGGGGGGGTTTCAAAGTCATATTATGTCCATGCATTATGCAGGATCAGCAGCATCAAAGGGAGGGGGTAGGGGGTAGCATTAACAAAGGGAAGGAATGTTAATAGTATGTAGAAGCAACGAAACATGTCAATGGGAGAGCGGTGGCAGGAGACCCGCAGCGGAGCAAATAATGCATTCCCTGTGGAGAACACAAGATACCCCCTCGCGTAAAGATGGGGCCAGTCACCTAAACCGTGACTCCCAATTCTCCGCTGCGTGTTTAACACTTGCGAATGGCGTCCTGCCCCCCCTGTCCTGTGCAGCGTGTTCGATGCAGAGACCTTCACGCAGGTGCAGGTCAACACAGGGCACAGCGACTGTGTCAGGTCCATCATCCACATCCCCGAGCGAGGACAGGTGGTGCTTTGCCCGCCAGAGTCTCTACGACTCTCGGCTCTGTATCTACACAATCGCTGCATCCTATCCGTTACTGCATCCATCCATCGCCACTCCTGCCGCCATCTCTGCATCTGTTAAGATTCTAATAATATCTACGAGATTCCTGGTGAAAGTGAGTTTTCTATGGGCAGCAAGTTGATGGCATCAGCCCAGACATCAACTGCGCGACTGTGCTGGATGGAATCAAATGTAACACAATTTTCCAGATTGTAAGCCGCTACACTCATTCATTCACTCTGACCATTGATTGGTCAGTCACTTCCTTATTATTTTATTGCTGCTACCAATCATCGTTCCCATGAACCTCGCACCCTTGACACCCCGACCAACGCCAAGGTCTCCTTCTCCCAGGAAGACTCTGTTCAAACACCAAAACGTGAGATGTGATGTTTTCTTCATACATTTTCCCCCTAATACCGCTCGACTTTGAAATGCCCTCCCATCGTCTCTTTTGCCAAATTCACGAATGCTCTGTTGCTGCCGACTTACGGCATTGAAAAAATCGTATTCAATTTAATCTGTTACTTAATATGGCAAGTTCTGGCTCTGTGAATTAGGGTTTTTAAATCCTTTATATTAAGTTCGCTTGCTTGCTTGCGTGCTTGCTTGCGTGCTTGCTTGCTTACGACCGTGCAAATCTTTCGGTCGTTTTTTAACCCACTTCCCGTGATCTAATCGAGCTGACATTTTCCACACAGACTCGTTGTGCGAGACAATTAATGTTCGTGAATTTTTTTTCCCAAAATTTTACACTGTTTAGGGAAAACAAATTAAATATTTAATTACCAATTGCTTAATACTGGCAGACAATCATCTGACCCATAGGTGGCAGCCATCTCAAGCCAGAGGACGAGAAGACTCTAGCCGCCACGCATATAAAGGATTTATAGTGAAAAACTTTGTTTTTACGGGTATACTTGTTTTTATTTGCACAAAACTCAATCTGGGTATAGAGCAATCGAAAATACTTAATCGTGAGCTCTGTGATGTCATCGTCCAAGAGTTGCACATGTGAATGTATCTCACAAATGGAACAAATAATTACCCAAGAAAACCTTATGAAGTCGATTGGCTTTTTAAAAGGTTTTGGAGGGAAATTCGGATTTTTGGACCATTTATGAATCTGTCTTTTGCATGAAGGAGTAGTTTTGCTTATGACAGTTTATGATCATAGGCCCAAGGCCCAAACATCCAAAGGGCCAGCAATAAGAAACACTATCGAATGTCTAATAGATAAGAGCAGTCTGGAGGGTCCCCCACGCATATGAGGGGATAATGCACTTTGGATGTTAATTTTCTTTACTGCTATTTACTGGGCACATTCCAGCCTTGCAGGTTGGGCATCTCATACACATGCTGTTCATCTCCATGCAATTCACCAACCATGTTTGCAAGGTGCTGGACTAAATGAGTACACCCTAAGGATGCTCTCCAAGCTACCCTCACACAAAGAGCCCTGGCTTGCCTCTGCAGGCTGTTGGGGCAAGTGCTGTTAGCGAGCATCTATGAAGGTCGGCATGACGCACGAGGGGGGGGATGGCCAACACCACAGCACCACGGCACCGCATCCTTTTAAGGCTGTCAACCATGGGGAGGGCTCAGGGCCAGTTTAGATATTCGCCACCGATGTGGTTATCGCAGTATGCCAACTACTACACGATCACATCCTCACACAAAGACAAAGCCACACTAACACGCACACCCACGTGTGTGCTCAGTGTAATGTGGTGTGTGCTGCTCTCTGTGGTCTGTATGGGCAGTACGTGTCTGCTGGCTGGGACCGCACCGTGCGGGTGTGGAACGCGTACCACCGAGGTCGGGCTGGGCCATCCAGGGACAACTGCTCTACTACACCCACTCTACAGAGAGGCACTCCGTCACGAGCCGGGGCCGCGTCTCCCCACGCGGTCACTCCAAACCGTCCGCCGCCACCTCATCTTGTCATACCGTAGAGCTCCTTCCAAAGTCGACAATTAAAACTGCTCGTGGTTAAGTTACGTGCGCATCCTCGTGCCTTCGGGGTGGCTGAGTGGGATGATGTCTCTGATGAATCCAGTATTTGCTGGATGAGAAAAAGAAGACCCCCTGATATTGCACCATGAGATTATTAAACTATGGTATTCAGTAATTAAGGCAAGAATATCTCATGACATTGCCTTCCATAGTGGGTGGACCTTACTTGGAGAGTTATCCAAAATTGCTGAATGGTAAAACTGTCTTTAATTGATGCTTCTTGGAGCTGTACACTAATATGCTAAGCTGGAAGGAAGCTCTTGATATGTGCACTTCTACAGGAATAAGTGGCATGCTTAAGATGTTGATGTACAGTTGTTTATACTTTTTTCGCTGGTTCGTTAGATCCAAACCTGAGTTAAGTGAATTAGTGTAAACTCCAGCAGTGTTTACAATGACGCCACTGCATTTTATGAATAAATAAAGAAATCTTCCACCAGCCATGTTTAAAATGCTAATACCGTAATGAGAAATGCCAAGCATTAGTAAGCTAAATGCTGTGCTGCATCCCTGAATTAATATACGGGGGTGCACTTTGACAATAAAACAGTGAGAAAGCTGATGTAGTTAATGCCATTGGTGCAGAGCCAAGACCAATGACTCATTGCCCTAGCCAGCACCTTGCCAAGCGAGAATGCATTATTTAAAATGACAAGTCATTTAGTATCACATTTTGGTACTATTTTTTATTATAATAATGTATGAAGTACATTTTAACCTTTTGTCTTTCTAGACCTTTTTTTAAAACCAACCAAAACAATTTGCAGGAAAGTCTTTTGTTTGGTATAATATTAACTTACAAAGACAAGACTAACTAAAGAACAGCAGACAGCTATCACACTTTTCACATTTTTCAACATTACAAAATAAAGTGACTTTAAAAAAAAAGTTAAGGCTGTTGTCATATGGTGTTTCTAAAAGACCACTCCCCATAGGATCCATTCTGGTCCACATTTCCATCTACACCAATCTACTCAATTCACATATAAATAAAACATTACACGTTGCAATACATCTGTAGGTTGGGCAAAGTCAATTTTGAATCGGAGTAGGCGTTCAAGAACTGGAATTTGAACAGCACCAGCGTGGTGCTTTATGGCCAGTCAGTTGCTAATCATTCAAACGATGTCCAAACTACCTATTTCAATAACCACTTTTATCCGGTTCACTGTGTCTTACCACAGTATTGATGTGTCAAGTGCATTATCCAATTTACATGCAAATGTAGTGAATGAGTAGACAAGCTGACCTTGTGGGTCCGATCCTGTAGTTTGGCACACTGATGGGAACACCAGCTGTGAGCACTATAAAGGTTTATAAGGCCCATGTGAACTAATAATGGACACCGCTCACTCAATACAATTGGACCAAAGTAATAATTTACTGCCCTTTGTTGATCCACTGCAAGATAAAGGCCTATACACTGAATATGTTACAGGGGTTGTTTGACTGTGTTGCACTATGCCGGTCGCTGCAGGTCGGTGAAGGGGATGAGGGACTATGACTGGTTCAGATGGCAATTTCCACACTGATGTTAGCCATGGTTAGAAATCACTCGGATTGGTGGGATTACAGCACCGTGCAATAGCTACTAAACATAGTACCACATATTAATGCTGCTCGCTGTCACTTAAGAGCCATCCAGTCATCAGAAAGAGCTAGGGTCTCTGGTTTCGCTGATGGGGAAACTGCCTATAGTCAATAGTGCAAATCACTTCCCTGGAAGTGTAACTTTTAGCCACAAAATGGCACTCAATTATAGGTATCTCTGTGGGCTTTTTTTGTCTGCTCCAAGTCAATAAATAAAACAGAGAAGACACTCAGACATTTCCTCCAGTTTTGTTCAAGCCACGGGAATGCATGGAGTTGTTTTCTGACAACTGTGCCACCTATAAAGCGCTCCACTTAAACTCATCGCAGGAGGCGTCCTCGCCCGAGCCGCAGCCGCTGTGACCCGCCGCTGGATCCCTCGTTTCCAGCCCGACTTCCTGTACTCCCGCCGCCTCGCCTGCGCCCGCTGTCATGCCCGTGCAGGTTGCTTCGCCTTTTTTCATCGCATCCCAAGTGCCCAGGGCCCCCATGAGGGCGGCCAGCACTCCGGCTTCTGACGGCGACGGGGGGGTCTCGTGTTCCGCCCCCGGTAGCTCCGGGTCGTCTGCGCACCCACGGGATATTGGCGTCCAGGGCGAGTGCGTCACGAGATCGGACGAGGAATCCACAGGACAACTGCCTTTTGTCAACGGGGCAATCGTATATGCCTCAATATACACTGCATTTTCTCTGACATCAATTACCCTTTCATTTTTTATGATGTATTGCACAGCTGAGTATGCAATTTGACACATGATGGATTAAAAGCATTGAGACGTCTTTGTATGCACGGTACCCAGATGGAAAAACAGTGGCATTATTTCTTTGAAAGAGTACATTTGGAATGTTGCTACAGTTTCGTCCCGTACGTAGCCAACCGTGCTGATCTGAGGTGCGGGGGAAGGAAAATAAACTAAACACAAAAATCAGTTCTTAAGAAATTTGTTTTCAATCGAGAGTTAAAAGTGTATAGCTCCAGTGTCTTCATAATATCGTAAGGAAGAGCATTCCAGACTGCCGTAGAAGCGCATCTTAAAGCGTGCGATGCGGTGACCATCTTTGCTCGATGGTTAGCTAAAGCTGCTGCGAGGATGAGCAGAGTTTGCATTTTGGTTTATGCTCTTTGACCAGATCAGTAAGGTATCGTGGGCCATTTGTGGAAAGCACTTTGTTTGTAATGAGTGCGACCTTTAATTTGACCAATGTTAATCAAATAAATTAACCTTGTAGCACGAACAACACAGATTAAAAAAATAGGGTGAACGATCCGATCGATGCAGTACCACTCTGCTCTACCTTGCCCTCCTATCTATCACCACCAGAAAGCAGCCACTACATTTTCCAAAGTGTGCTTCTTAAAGACACTAATCATAAAGTCACCAAGACCTGGAGACTGGAGTGCACAGTTTCAAAAATAATTGGGTAAAAAAAAAAATAACAACCTCTTTTCATGAGCTTCACAGTGACAGAAAAAAGAAAAAAAAAAGAAAATGTGGCAAATTTTGAAGGAATAATTCTGGGATGTTTCAGCGATGATTTGTGAGTGAAGGAATGCTACTCTATTGGACAAGTCACCAGAAAATTGCCAAACATCCCAATGCAGAACCCTCCTGAACAAACTTTCTGGATATATTAATTACATCCATGATGTTTTCCTGGATAAATGTCGTTATTACTGAAATATTTCAAAGGTAGTTTTTCGCAACGGTAAAACATAACACGAGACAATCGGTTGACTGAGTCGGTCTTAAATATGGACATTGGTCGCGAAAGCCTACGTGTTAAATTCATGAGTGAGTGACGAAAGCTGGTAAGTGTAGGCGCGCAACACATCGATGCTGGACAATCCTCGATGCAACGGTACCAACAACAGGAGGTCTTCATCGAGCAGAGGGCAGATCACGGCTGAAAGAAAGGTGACAGTGATGGTGTACGTGTTTCCACCGGGTTGAAAGTTCCACCTACCCGTGTGCTGCGTGGACAACGCAACACGCGCATTATCTTCTCCGTCATCCATCCACCCCCGAGAGAGTTGTCCGATTCCCAAATGCATCTTTTCAACCGCAAGCAATCTGCAACTCGTGGACTCCATCCCTAGCGTGCATGCACAAAGATAAAAACGAAAGAAAGATCCTCTACTTATCTGTACGACCAGAGTGGCAATTGGTCATTCGAGAGCCTCTGTTAGGTCACCACAGCAGCATACGTGGGAGGTGATGTGTCAGGGCGCCATGTCCAGCAGCTTTTGTCTCTCCAGTGATTGGACACGCAGGAGGACAGGTTCAGACATCAAGCGTCACTGATTTGATCTCTGGACAGGAATCAAGGCCCAAAATCACAAGAAGAAAAAAATCACTATAAGTGACTAGGGCGCTGTGAACCCTGTCACCGCATTCACGTAATTGCTGGCAGATGAGGGCACGCAGGTTGAATTGGGGTAAAACAATACAACCCACACGAAGCCCGTGATGCACAGACGCTGCTCTAGTCTTAACGCGGGCAGTGCTTGTGCAGCTTGTGTCAAGCGGAATGCACACGTGGTCATTTTAACATGGTGACACTATTGTGACTGTTGCCAAGGCCATTGTTCTGTTGCCATCCTGTGCAGCTTCACACTGTACGCTACCACTGTGGCCATTTAGAGTTGTCTAATTACACTATACTCTGGCCGTTCGTCTGATGATGTAGTTGTAATTACTCGCGAAAGATCGTGCTCGAATTGTAAACGTTGTGGGCTTTACTCTCCCACACACCGGTGTGGTGAACTAGCAACGAATTGTAATGTTTTGCTTACGTGACAAACCTTACGAATTGGCTGTGTCGGGTGGATGGCAGGTTGAACGACACATTTATATTTACGCGACCGAACCCAAAAACCTCTATTATGTACTCGATACTGTTTCTGCAAAACTTTATTTTCAACTCACGGAGTTGTGACTTCTCCTCGTGGCTTAGCTGAAGCTGAGTTTCCAGGGTTTCTATGTGCTTTTTCTGAGTCAGCAGCTGCTCCCAGACACGTGGAGAAAAAGACAGATAGAGGTCAGGGTAGGTTAGAGATCAAGGCAGAGACAGTGGCACAAAGCAAATACCTTGTGATTCCATGAGAATGACAAAAATAATGAGCACAATGGCCAAAATCAAGTCCAAGTATCTTCATGTTCGAACAAATGCTCATCGCTGTTGATGGTCCTCAGTCAATTGGTTTACAGTCGTATCCCTATGCGCGTTACCTACGATGAGAATGTATGTTTGTACGTAATGTTTACTTCTTTTGCACCATACGTATCCAACAGTGCTAATCGGAGGTGCGGGAGAAAGACAACAGTGGTGAAGGAGGTGCTCAAAATTGGTTTAGATACCGCCACTGATGTTAGCTGTGGTCGGGAATTGAGCTCAGGACACGAGAATGCATACACAACTAAGGGACAAACCGCTTACAGAATTAAATACCTTGAGTATAGGACACCAGGAGTGCATGGTTTAAACGGCAGGTTAAGTGTCCCCAAGTTGTAAAAAAAGAATAAGATAACACAACCAATAAGATGCTGATGCTGCGTGAACTTAATTTAGTCACTGTTTTCGGGCTCTTATGCGTGTCAACATTGATTAGATGCATTTAAACTCTGCAGCATTTGAGTCAGACCACGACTGTTTTGACCACACTTCCTTAGTGGAACCACAAACTGCAAGTAACTTAAAATAAATCGCGCACTAGATAGTTTGGTTAATGTAATGCTGATGCCTGCAGCGTCAAATTTGTGCACACGCAGCGAGAAGCACTTGCGACAGCTACGGTCCAACGCGTTGCGGCTGTCAAGAAAACCGATGCATTTCAATAGGTTGGCAACAAAACATCGGGCCGCAAGTCAGTGATTCACGAGTAACAATATCTTGTACTCGTAATCGGCTGAATGTTTCATCTGCTTTCAATTGCTTTAATTCGCACCACAATCCACAGAAGATTAATCACTTGGTGCTCTGACGATTAGGATTATATATTTGTAAGTGTTTAGCAAGGGACTGAAAACAATTTTGAGATTTAGGTGCGACTCTGGCCGATAATAAAAATCAATCAACCTCTGGGCCATTGTTTAGTGAAAGCAAACTTATAAGAATTGTATACTTATGAGAATAGATTTGGCTGTATTTGTGCCAAATTTCTTGAACATCAGTCACCATCGCCTGTATGCTGTACAAACTCAATACAAAAATGTACTCGGAAGAAGAAAATAGTATTAAACGTATTGTCGTCACAGAAAATAATGACAAGTCCCTCTCTTAGAGGAGTACAAAATACCATGGCAAACTGATCAACATAAACTATATATAAAAAAAAAAGACTACCACTAAGTTATGTGCTAACTTACCAATCTAAAAAATGATTATCGTGGATAACGCATTTGAGCACGATAAAAACAGTCACGTACTTTTTCACGACATGTAATTTTTCCACGCAGATCAACAAAATGTTCATCAGATGTAAGGATGACCCAACATGAGGCCATGATGAGTCGTGGCGTGAGGTTTTCAGCAGGAGGCACTCTCCCCTCTGTAATCGTGATTGCTGTTTCTCACTGTTCCAACCCTGCCTGCCCAATGTTCCAGCAACAAGGTAGAGGGGACACTGTTCTAAGTTTGTGGTGAAACATCAAAAACTGTGACGCTTTCCACTTATGTGAATATTAACAGATTGTGATGCTCTATGATAAAAAAAAAATCATAAAATAGATGGCGTTAAGGCCAGAGTGCTGGCTAAAATCCCAATGCTGTATTGATCAATACCTTGTCTGGCCACACAAGACATCTGATATGTGACTAGCACAAGTTAAAGTAAATTTCTTTAAACCGTAAGATCCTGATAACTTGCAAATAATGAGTATTGCTTGAATGATTTTGTCAGCACGAGACATCGTTTCATCACTGCATCTTAAAATGTTAATTTTGGTTTCAAGGTGAAGATCAGAAGGTCCTTTGCAAAGGAACCGGTGATTGTCTCCCCCTGCTGTTCATGCTAGGGCCTTGAAAACCTTAAATGTCCTGTGCGTAACACTCCCATCCGCTGCTCCAACTGGAAAAGCAGCCGCTACGGCTGTTGCTTTTGTATTTTATTACCTTCATTCTGCTGTGCGAGTGCATTGTGTTCATTCCGTTCGCTTTATTACTCCTATCTGTCTTTGAGATCTCATTTGGTCAGCACTGCCTTTGTCACGCATTCTAAATCCAGCCCTGTAATTGAATCAGGTTAGGTGTGACCAATTTAACCAATATAATTCAGGGAGACATTTAACAGAATGTAAACCTCAAAGGTTTTAATTAAATTAGGAACGAGAAACTAGGAAAAGATGGCTGTCAGACACAGTCCATCTTTCCACATCACCTAGTCGATGGACGTATGGGAATGCTCATATCAGTTTTTCAGTGCGCAGCAAGCGGATTGGTTTGGATGGTTGTACAGTCTGACCCTCAGGGATTTTTTTGATGTGCACTGCTGTCAGATTTAGTTTAATCTTTAATTTAAGATAATTATGTTCAATCTAGCTTCGCCAAAGTTTTATTGAAAAATGTAATGCTAATTGTATTATTTATTTTCATTACATATGCACAATGTCTCTTTAGACGTTTGTTTAAGACCTTTGAGATTGTCCAAAGAAAGTTGGAATTATCCTTTCACCTGGATATGTCTTTAGCTGAATTCCTGGCAATAATGAAGGAGACATATGAAATGCTGCAAGATAAATTGGAACACGTGTCCAAGTACAGCCCTCTTCACAATTGGAACCTCATGAGGTTGGAACCTCATGAGGTTCCAATTGGAACCTCATCAGGTTCTAATGATGTAAATGCTTACACCCCGAGCTCTCATACTCTGATGGTGCATTGTCTTTGAGTTGTGCACCTTTTGGCGTCATCTGGTCCAACCCATGTGAGACTAGGCTCTAAGGAAAGCTGTCTCGGGTGTGGACCAATCAACTTCAAGGACAGTGCATATATTATCAGAGTTATGTTTTTTGTTTGCATTATGGCTGCAGGTATTGTGGTCTATGCAAACATGACTCCTTGTAAAAAAGGTGTCAGTTTTGTTGCCAGATAGAAGGGTAAAAAAACTATTATCATACAGCCCTCTTGTCAATCCCCTGTTGGATGAGGCTCTCCCCAAGCCATGCAGAGTTATTTGGCCAGATTTCTCCATTCTTCTCAGTGTGCATTGGTGAAGGCTAGGAGTATGGATATGGGAACACAGAAGTACAGTCCAACAACACACCTCTACTGCCCACAACATAACTTCCACACTTGCTATAACAGCTCAGAATCATAATTAGAATATCCAGGATTTCTGTTGTCCTTCCCCTGCACCTCTGATTAGCATGGTTAGCTACGTACGGTGTGAAAGAAGTTCAATGTACATACATACAGGCTTAACCTTGTTTGTTTTCCGAGACCTGATGAGATCAGGCATTCCAGGTAATAAGAAACAAACAAGTTACTAAATATTCAATGTAATACACAAATGCGATTCAGTTATTTTCATGAATGTTGTGTATATCATGTATAACGTTTCATTAGAGCTCCTTATAAGTCCACTGCTGGCTGAAGGCCTCCTCACAGCGTGGAGGTTGTTTATAGGTTCAATCTTTTTTTTGGGTGAAACTTTGCAAGGTGACATTAAGAAACAAATATACACACACACAAGCCAAAACCAAACATACACACAATTTCGAAACACCAACGGTGACGTGGCCTAGCTCTAGCGCTTTTGCCTCTTGTTGTTGCAGAGGTCCACGGTTTAAATACAGTGGCCGCCTTGATTTTAATACTGCGGGTTTATTAACCAAACAAAAACATATAAGCGTCATCTGCTTTGCAATGGACGGTAAAGTTCCCGGCGATGCATTTGTGTAAGAGCAGGCCATTGTATGCCGGTCCAATTTTGAAAAATAACCCACAATTGAATAGCAACCATTGCCTCCTCTTGCTAAAAAAAACTTGACAGGACCCTCCTGATTATATCATTAATAATAAATAACAACAATACTAATATTGTGTTCACACGACCAAAGATAACATCACATATATTCAGCATAGTAAATACACTCTTTGGATGTTTCATATCCACAAAAAACGCAAGAACGATGGTACATTTCAGCTGCCGATTGAATATTATGGGAGGGCAAATGCCCTTTTCACAACGATTACGCTACCTGATCTCTGAGAGACAGTATCTCTTTCTTCATTCGAGTTATGCACACAGCCTGTGCTTGGTAGGCTGCCAAGGAGCGATCCCTCCTAGAAAGGCGCGGGGGGCATGCACACACATACAGACACACACTTACTTGGGCGACACAGATGCATTATGCCTCCCACATGCTGGCACATACAGTCAATCACCTGTTAAATGCTTACAAATGCAATGCAAATATGTGCTTGAATGCATGCACTTCGTTCCAAACACAACATGTGCACACAAGGGTGAACACATGTACAAACACACATGCCTATACACACACACATACATGATAAGCTCAAGTAAATAATCTTGCATTCGAACACATGTATAGAATACATTTACATACTCCGGTGGTTGAGCCTCAGATTCAGAAGAAACAATGTGGATTCCGGTAAAGGGTCGTGGAATAATGGACCAGCTCTCTTCCCTCTCACAGACATTTGAGGGATGATGGGAGTAAGCTTCTCCAGTCTACCTCTGCTTTGCAGACTTGGAGAAAGAATTTGACCGTGTTCCCCACAATGTCTTGTGGAGTTTGTGTATAGTAGTGTATAGTGTAGTGTATAGTAGTGTAGTGTATAGTAGTGTAGTGTATAGTAGTGGAGTGTATAGTGTATAGTAGTGGAGTGTATAGTAGTGGAGTGTATATTAGTGTAGTGTATTGTAGTGTAGTGTATAGTGTATAATAGTGTAGTGTATGGTAGTGGAGTGTATAGTAGTGCAGTGTATAGTAGTGTATAATGCAGTGTATGATAGTGTAGTGTACTGTATAGTAGTGGAGTGTATAGTAGTGTCGTGTATAGTCGTGCAGTGTACAGTGTAGTATATAGTAGTGTAGTGTATAGTGTAGTACAGTAGTATATAGTAGTGTATAGTAATGTGGTGTATAGTGTAGTAGTGTATAGTAGTGTATAGTGTAGTAGTGTATAGTAGTGTATAGTGTAGTAGTGTATAGTAGTGTATAGTGTAGTAGTGTATAGTAGTGTAGTGTAGTAGTGTATAGTAGTGTATAGTGTAGTAGTGTATAGTAATGTAGTAGTGTAGTGTATAGTGTAGTAGTGTATAGTAATGTAGTGTAGTAGTGTTAGTAGTGTATAGTGTATAGTATGTAGTGTAGTAGTGTAGTAGTGTATAGTGTAGTAGTGTATAGTGTAGTAGTGTATAATAGTGTAGTAGTGTATAGTAATGTAGTGTAGTAGTGTAGTGTATAGTGTAGTAGTGTATAGTGTAGTAGTGTAGTAGTGTATAGTGTAGTAGTGTTAGTAATGTAGTGTAGTGTATAGTGTAGTAGTGTAGTATAGTGTATAGTAGTGTATAGTGTAGTAGTGTAGTGTATAGTGTAGTAGTGTATAGTGTAGTAGTGTATAGTAGTGTATAGTGTAGTAGTGTATAGTGTAGTAGTGTAGTGTATAGTGTAGTAGTGTATAGTAGTGTATAGTGTAGTAGTGTATAGTGTAGTAGTGTATAGTGTAGTAGTGTATAGTAGTGTATAGTGTAGTAGTGTATAGTGTAGTAGTGTAGTGTATAGTGTATAGTGTAGTGTATAGTGTAGTAGTGTATAGTGTAGTAGTGTATAGTGTATAGTGTAGTAGTGTATAGTGTAGTAGTGTATAGTATAGTGTAGTAGTGTAGTAATAGTGTAGTAGTGTAGTGTATAGTGTAGTAGTGTAGTGTATAGTGTAGTAGTGTAGTGTATAGTGTAGTAGTGTATAGTAATGTAGAGCTAGAGTCTGTCACCAGGGAGTGGGATGTCTAGACCGCCACTACTCAACATGCTGCCGCCACGACCCTCACCAGGACAAGCGGACTGAGAAACGATGGAACCAACAAAGTAGATATACGTGTAACATCGGCAGCCATAATCAATCCATTGCTGGACGAACACCTTCCCAAGCTGGCAACATCATTTATGGCCTCGCGATACAAGAATCTGTATAAAACTTGCATGTGAAACATTTAATCACTCTAATTCCATGGCAGATGTCCTTTTGGTCATACAGCATTCCCTTCTTTGGCTGCCACTTCTTGACATTAACCTCAACCGTTGGCCATCATTTCTTCTAGTGACATATCCTGCCCAAACTTACTTCACTTAGCACTCAATATGATGTCCCTAACTTGTGTGTGCTCTCAACACACTTATGCATGCTTGACGGCTACCGAAAGAGTCACAAAAGATGGAGAGCATCTGTCAATAGACAGATGGCATGCAACTTCACGTGGATTCATATTCTTAGGTTTTTTCGGTAAAGTCACGTAGGTAAAAACATTAAAAAGTAAAAAAAAATCACGACGTTTCGGAGGCAACACAAGCTTCCGTCTTCAGGTGGTACCGTCACAGCCACGACAGCTGTATCAAGTAAATGAGAGATTGCAGGAGCTACCACTCCGTTTATATAATGGTTGGAGAAGGTGGTGGGGCAAGGGCCGCATACTTTTATTAATATGGTAAGGTGAGGCTTAAGACTAAGAATAGACTGCATAACAAAGGCTAACAAAGGCTGAGCCTTTGTTATGGAGAGGTGCGGTTTGTGACTCAACCTGTGACAGTACCACCTGAAGACGGAAGCTTGTGTTGCCTCCGAAACGTCGTGATTTTTATTTTACTTTTTAATGTTTTTACCTACGTGACTTTACCGAAAAAACCTAAGAATATGAATCCTTGCAGTCACGAAAGCTTCAAATCTAGAATTCATGTGGATTATGGAAGTACACACACAGACACACGACAACCTCTCCAGCAGACTGTTGCGGAGAGTACTGTTGTGTAAGGTCAGCATGGTATGGTGCGTCTCCCTTCACATCCAGACGCATTTTTAACATAGCAACCAAAGCAAATTAACGTAGAAGACACTCGTGCCGATGATAACCGTAATCAAATCTTTGTCAACCGAGTGAACGCACACCAAGGTAAAACGTCTCGTTTTCAAGGCAGACCCCGGTCACAAAGCAACACAACACATGTAGAAACATATTCACCACGCACATATAAATGGTTGACAAGCTCAACAAAAAAAAGTTATAGAAAAACTCTTAAAGTTAAGCTAAGTCATTCACATCACTCACCAGAACTTTATATCCAAATCCATCTTCTTCACGTCTATGCTTATTTCCTCTTTTGTGATGGCATTCCGACCTGAAAGCACAGCCCCAGTAAACAGATTACTGAGCATTTTAAGAAAACACTGAGGTGCAAAAACAAAAATCAATAGAATGCTTCATCAATTTTCTATTAAATACTAAAGTTATACTGGCTCAACATGTATGCGCTACGCAAGTAATTATTATAAGGCAGTACGTAAATTTTATCTAAATCGGTAACGACTTAAAAGAGTAAAGGTTACAAGACATTATGTAAATGAAAATCACGTTATAAAAATCACCCAGTACAGTAATGTCAATGTAAGGGGATGACCGCACGTTTTATTATAACATTTGGTGGCAGAAATGTTTTATCTGAAACAGACTGAGGATATTCATTGGACTGAAAAGTCTACCTTACATTAATTACAATATTCAGCGGTGTTCTGTTCCCCCAGTGTATGTACATGGAGGTGGCAGAGTCCCTGAGTGATAGATGATGAGCTTGCCTCCTGGATCATAAAGTATGTTACGCGTGAGTCTACAGAAGAAGACGTGACGCAGGCAGTGATCGGAAGGAAACTGGCACTATTTGGTCACATATGTAGGATGGACAACAGGAGCATTAAAAGTGCGTTGCTCAGTAAAAGGGAAGGAACTGGAGGGAGAGAGGAAGACCTAACAGAGAATGGCTTGACAACGACATAAGAGATGTGGCACTACTGGAGCATATTGGCACAAGACAGAGGGAAGTGGAAACAAATGATGAAACGTGAAATGGACAGCTACGGGCTATCTGCCCATGGCTCATGATGATGATGAATTGCTACATTATAGTCAAATACAATCATAATAATTCACAGCCCCTTCAACCCACACCGTGCATCAGTTATGGGTGACATTTGACCATATTTCACCATGCTGGTCACTGCGGGTTGGTGACGGAGGAGGTTGAGGGGGCATGGGGGACGTGCAGGCCCTGGTTTAGAAATCCCTTGCCACTGACATTGGCTGTGGCTGGGAATCAAAGTCAGGTGGCTGTGTTCACAGCGCAGTGTATGGACCACTGCACCATTGCTCCATCCCACTGCACCATTGCTCCATCCCACTAAAGTGTAACCGTCTTTAATTCAGATTTTCCAGCTTTATAAAAGAGGGTCGGTCACATTCCAATAACCCGGGATTAGTGGGCGTTTACTGCACCGCACAATTCTGCTTGCTCGGTCAAAAGGTTGCTCAGAGCAGAGATGAAATGAGTGCCATGGTGCTTTGTACAGTGTTGGTTTTCATCATAGATGCTATTGTGAGCTGTGGACACCACTGGGGTTTGCTGTTTCCCTCAAGGTATTTCAAAGAAAAAGATCCAGCAATTGGCACACATACACTGATTAGTGCAACACACTCTTGGCAATTAGCCTGGGCCAGGAACACAAACATGTATTCAGGAGAGCACTTTGTATATTTAGTTTTTTTTAAACGCATCTAAAGGAACTCCCCAGAGTTTTATTAGGCTATTTATTCATCCATTCATTATTTTTCCACAGCGCATAGACTAATTTGCAGTGCAGTGTTTCTGGATAATTGGCCACGAAGTGCATTGTGGGTGCTAAGCTCTCGAAGACATGTTTTCACACAGGGGCCTGACAATAATAGGTGGTTTCATAAATTCACAATGTGTCCTCAAAACACATGGGCACCATCAAAATGAGGCTCTATGGGAGTCACATACAGAGGCAATGGTACCTGCTCCACATTTACATTTACTGGTGTCGGCCTATCTGCACTCTGGTTGTATGAAAACAGCCAAGGTTATATATATTTTTTAAATAAACTTGCATGCATAGGTGTCAGGTTTCCATTGTGTGTATTTATCAGCCTCCTATGGACAGGTGATACCATCAATCAATCAAGCCCTTTATTTGAGTCGCACGAAAACTCACCGAGAAAAACGTCACTTTTACAGAGGGAACCCTGGGGATCATTTACGTTTGTTTAGGTTGCTCAAGCAAACATGATTTTTTTTAACAGACATACTCGAGATAAATCCATGCAATAGTTATTGATTGAAATTCAAAATAAGATAAGAACAACAAGCATTTACACATAATAACCGTCTAGAAATTTTTTTGCGTAATTTTCAGTGAGACGGCCTTTGCTGAGAACAACAACTACTCAGCTTTCAAAATGAGTCCATGAAAGACAAAAAAGATCACAATCTATATAAAATACAGTTCAGGATCCGTTTAATCCCAATAAGCAGATATCTGCCAAAGATGAAATTCATATTCCAGGCACAGGGTGAGGATCAAAAACATTAAATCTGACAGGAGGGCTGTCTATTAATGTTCTGCTCTCGTTTGAGCCCTAATGAGTACTTTAGAGAAACATGCACTCGAACCCAACATCAAAATGCTCAGTGCTCGCAAAACACCCTCCACTATGCACATCAATGTAATATTATTATCCCGCAAGTCATTTTATGATGAAGCCAGCTGAAATGTAACTGTGCGTGATGAAGACAATGGCAGAGAGAAGAGCATCACAGAACAACCCATAAGAACACTTTGATTGCCCCCTATCCATCCTTGGGGACCCTGCAAATTCCCACACATGCGCCACTGAAACAAGTGTTCATTACGCGGCAATAAAAACTGCTGCACTGTAATCCTGAGAGTTGAAAATGTGGCAAATGAAGTGAAAATCTTATTTAGTATGAAAACTAAAAATGTGCAGTCATTGATAACAAAGTTTATACAATCAAGTCGGTACACTTGAGAACTCAGTTTAAACAGCAACCAGGGATCTTTATGGTCCCAGCTCAAGGACTCTGGCAGATAATTAGCCCGCTAAAATGTTTTCCTGCCAAACTTATATTATGTGAAACTAAATATGGTAAGGTGAATGCGGGGTTTTTCTTTGTATTATTGTTGGTTTGTTTGTAGTTAAGACACTGCCCTCTATATCACTGGGACCACGGACTGTCCCCTACCGAGTGTGTAGTGTGCACTACCTGCGCAGTACTCTGGGAAGTAGCTCATCATTGTCGTGTTGACCCAGTCGTCAGAATACTCCCTGCAACACAACACAACGGCCGTGTTTCAACAGTACACTAATGAGCTTTGAAAAACCAAAGCGGGGTTGGGCTGTTTCAGTTCCAAGTCATTTCATTTCATGCTTCCTGGACCACTTAAGTAAAGGGCATGCTGCCAGCAAAGTGAAAAATAATCAGCAATAATTGGAGAATCTTCAATGGCCCATTAACGTTCTCTAGTGATGCCAATGAACAAGTATGAACCATTGGTTGCCGAGCTGCAGAGTTGTGTGTTATGCCAGCAAATTCGACACTTGTGCAGGGGCAGTTTTAGGTAATTGCCGAACATGGCATATGCGGCAAACATAACAATTTAATCACCTGACTTTGAGGATTATTTAATGTCTCTAAAACCTTTTTAGAACTTTTCAAAACCTTTTTTCTTCGAGAAAGTATCCTATTCTCTTCTTGCTTCTCCTCCCATTACTCCAACACTGCACTACCGCTGATGTTTAAGAAGGAATCCTGGGGCAGTTACCTTGTTTGTAGAATTACGATCGCACAAAAGTGGCATAATGAGAATGAACGTTGAGTCATAGAAGCGTGGCAAGTGCACGGTTCCCCCATCGCACCTGCAGTCCCTCCTGGGAAGCTGCACTCTGCACAATTCAAGCACTAATTGCATTTTTCCCATAATTAAGACTCTCCGCTAATGTGTGCAAGTATTTGGCATTATTTCGCCAAAAGGCCATACGGTGCGGTGAGCAATTCTTTCAGTCGCCTTTCCAAAACGCTCTCCCCCTCTATGCCCAACCTTTGCTGGCACTTGTCTCGCAGATAAGGGCATTTGCACTGATGGTCCTGCAGGGCCCAGCGCACATAACGAGGCTAATTGGCTCTCATTTATTGGCTCGGCAAGCAAGTAGATTGGAGGGTGATTCCAAAATGATGATCAAAGTGACAACCAGATGCCCTGGCATTACATACATGGTGGAAATAGATTGTAGATGTGACTCAGAAAAAATATCTGGGAATAAATGCCCACAACACCAGCACCAAGGGCAGTGAATGCCCTCCATGGGTCATGCATCTAAATATGGCTCTTTTAATAGTATAACTAATTCGTTAATGCATGTCCAGATAGATAGATATATTCCATATGGGTGGAAGTGTTGCAGAGTCCTTGAATCATAATTAGAGGCTGACTCAGTACATCATCTTTCCAGAGCCAATTTAAAAAACACCGTGTTTTTTTGACAATCAACGATGGTTGTCCTTTATACAAACTGGCCCCAACGACAGGAATGTGGAATTTCCACCATTGGCTAAGGGCCAACAACAGAGATGAGCAACTCCCAAAGCTCGTCTGAGACACTGACCTTTTTATTTGGGGTTTAAAAAGGAAGCTATAACCCAAAAACGGCTGTCCAATATGCAGTTTGAAGCTTCATTAATAAAAATGAAATTCTAAGCTACAGTCGAGTAAATCACGATCACGCTGTAGTAAGGCAATTTCGTTGATGTATTTACGTGTATAGGATATCACGGTGATATTTCTATACTGCTACAAGGACACTACTAGATCATAACTTCAGTCCAGCGACATCATTGTCATCTCACCAAAGTGCCACATAACCGTAACTTTAAATAGCTTTTTCTTTAACGAACAAACGCTTCAAACGAGTGTCGGACAGCCTAGGAAACACAACGAGCACCGTTTCTTTTGGATGGTGACTTTCTTTACAGTTCCGCTCACTTGAACTTGCTGTTGAGGATGACATCATCGCTGAAGCCGTGGTGAGTGAAGAAGCTCACGGCTCCGCTGTCGGCGTGCACCAGGATGGCATCGTACTGCCACAACTCCATGAGCTCCTTCAGCATCTGCCAACAAACAGCGATCAGTTTAAATGGCTTATGGATAGCCATCGAAAAAAAGACGGTCACCGCATCGAGCGCTTTCAGCTGCGCTTCTGCAGCCGTCTGGAACGCTCTTCGTTCCAATATTAGGAAGCCACTGGAGCTATACACTTTTAAATCTAGATTGAAAGCTCATTTCTTTAGAACTGCTTTTTTGTGATTCGTTTTTTGTCCTTCCCCCCGCACGCCCGATTAGCACAGTTATCTATGTACGGTGCAAAAGAAGTCCAATATGCATACATAGGTGCACACAACCAACAAGCTAGCCTGCACTGCGGGGGACGACTTACTCCACCCTCTGCAAGACTGCTGGTCTACTGTCGAGGAGCTGAGGCCAGCCCATCTTGCCCTGGAAATGAAAGCCTTGCCCTTCCGTATCGTTTCATCTCAGCCAGAGATTGTAGGGATCAACAAGGTTCTCGCGGTCAATGACACTGAATGTGCCACACTTTGCCATTGCTTCCGACTGATAGATTCCGCTCCTGTTGCCATGTCGCAACTCATCCTACAAGGTTTGCTCTTACGGTACCTGCCTTAAGGTCTTATCACTCGGCAGCAAAGCGTGTACGGATTTGTCTCACCCTCCCCTGCCCTTGTGATTCGATGCACTCAAATGATGTGGGGTCACAACTCAAGTCAGGATTTGATTCTTCATGTTCCATTGTGGTGAACCAATCACATACGATATGTGAAAATAATAAACGGGGGGCCATGAATGTATCATCCATTGTTATATAATTATAATTAGGCCACTTGTTTCAACTATACCAGAAGACCATTCACATTTATGAATAAAAACACACACGTGGTATGAAGATGTTATCGTACGAGTTTCATGATACTACCCACGTCATTTGATGCATGTATTATAAGCGAAATAATCAAAATTAATTTATGAATTGATGCACTTGCATGCCTAACAGTTACCAATATACACGTGCCACCTGTCTGAGTAACCTCCCTTCCTCCACCCTGCACGGGTGCTCAACTCATCCAAAGCCTCATATTATTTAAATGCAGGGACAGCAGACATTTGGCATAAAAACAAATGCAGAAATGAAAGATAACAATGACACGCTATCCTTTAACGATAGTCGTCCGCTGCAAATTCTGTAGAAAATATTGTAACAATGAGCTCCTGGATTTTTAACATCGTGACGTAACATATTTTAAACAAAAATGTAAAGCTGAGAACATCTGCATTACTTTTTACTTCACCATCACCTTCAATAGAACTATTATCACTGTGACTACCAATTGAACCACCAACACAATCAGTAAATCCAACACCGCACTATAGTAGCATTACCAACATTACGATGGCAGAACAATACAATGATACTGAGGATAATTCAATACATATTACAAATAACTAAACATTGTTTTCCATAGGTGTGACTGACATGAATTCATACACTTTACTATATTATATGGGTAGAACAAAAGTACTGGGGTAGCATTGATCTATCTGATATTAGGTTGCTCATATTTACTCTCAAAGCTTTTAAAAATCTGTAACTTATACCAAACTCATTTGAATGTAATTTTATATCAGTCATTGCTTCGACCACACTTACCGGTGTTAATGATAATCATCATCATCATCATCACTATCACACCATTACAAAAACATTTCAACCTCACATTACTATGAGTTATTGTCATCATGAGCAGCTCAACATTAGCCTCCACCGGTGCCACCACTTGATCTGAAACGCTGAATAATCTTTAAGTGTCGAAATTGGCACAAGCGACTGGCTTGAATTTCTTTGAAAAAAAACGTTTGCAATTGCAGATAACAAAAATGTAATTAGTGACGCAGGCCATGACAAAATATTGATTACTAATCACAGCAATGGTATCATTGCAGCCAACGCTGTGTCCAACATGATGATACCAGAGTAAATAAATTAATAAAAATGTTAAAACAGGGGCAATATTTGAAAACGCCTCGTTTGACAATGGTTCAATAATGTGCTCCAGCCATTCAAACAAACGGTTATTTCAAATATCTACCATCATTAGAGTTGCAGCATTGCAGCACCAATTATTACCGTAGCCAATTACGTTACTACCAACATGATAAATGACTGCTTGCAAAAATGGAACGCTTAATTGTTGTTAAACATGTTTCATATGCAAATCAACATCTGCGATGCACTGGTGGTGTACTGCTTAATGAGTGGCACACTGTTTTTTTTTTATCATGTACATGTGCAGCCCGTTTGTCAATCCACTGCTGGATGAGGGCCTCCCTGTATCGTGTGGATCATGGAGGCTGTTTGACCATACTTCACCATGCTGGTCATTCTGGGTTGGGCAAAGACAGGCAGCATAGACCTGGGCACAGAGTACAGTATATAATGGTTTTTGCTTCACTGATTTCTGCTTCCCAGAACAGTTTTTTTTTTATTATAACATTAAATTAGTAAATGTTTATCTTCAATGGCGAGTATGTTTGTTCAGGTGAGAGGTATTTTTGATGATATAGAAAGCTTCACCCATGGCTTTTACTACAATAAGGCAAATCATATGCTTTAAGATTATAAAATTTCAATGTGTATTGGTATATATGTGTGTATATATATACATATATACACAACAAACGCAATTTACCACTAAGTGGCGGTGACATCATCACGACGCTTGTGCCAGGCTAGGTGTACTTTGTGGCCACGTGAAGTGTCGGAAGGCTGGCTGCCAGGTGGTGTACATTATATTGATGTGCAAATAAAGTACAAGATAACTCGCTTGGTAGATAAATGGTTTCATGACAACATAGAAGTGAGTTACAATTCTGGTCAGGCTAAACTCGCTAGCGTCAGGCCATCATCCACCCATTCCCCCCCACCCTTCCCAGGCTCAGGTCAGTAAAATGAAAAGCACCTCTTGGTTCAGAAGCCAAAAATGAGAAGCAGTAGACTGGCATCTGCCGTAGAAATATCTGCCACTCACTCCAGAATAAAAAGTGTGAGTGTGAAGTGCTGGCTGCCTTTGAGTGTATATTAATACTGCTACGAATAAGAATGTATTACAGTTCTTTGTCAATCCACTCCTGAATGAAGGCTTCCCACATCATGTCAGTTATGGGCGTTGATGGACCATAACTGCACTGTGCTGGTAAGTATGGCTTGGTGAAAGGGGGACCGATCACAGCTTCCGATATCACTTAGCACTGATGTTAGCCATGGCCAGGAATTCAACTCAAGTCGCCAGGTTCATAGTGCAGTATGCCAACCAATTCACCAGCGCTACCCTCAATATATATGTAGTCTGTGCCAAATCACGTGAAATTAAATAATATCAAAACATTAATTAATCACGAAATTCATAAAACATAAATGTGGAGTGTTGGCACAAGTACACAGAGGGATAAGCATCCTCATGCATGAGCCTTTCAGAATTCTGAGAAAAAACAGCACTTTGAATTCCAAGTCTGCCCTACATACCCTAATTGTTAAATATTCCGTACATATGAAATACATAATTTGAGACGTTTAAATGCCACTCTTACGTGGCCTTTAATTTAGGGTAGCATGCATTTTTCCAACCCATTATTCACATTAACCCCTTTTCAAGTATCAAACGACCTTCCAGTCCCATTAAAGTGAAGCACACAATCAATGAGTGCTCATTAACATGATGACAATAGCCATCCATTTGTGTATATATATCCTATGTGAGATGTATGTGCTTGCAAAGGTGTATAAGAACATGTCAGTATTCATAAAAGCTGAGATATCTAGCACTCTGCCCTAAGACAGTGAAAAGTAAAGAATCGTGAATTCAGAATTTTCAGAGAATGCCATCCATACCAAGCTCGAAGGCAAAACCGTTTTGTTGCAACTGGTCACATAAACTCTGCAAAAAAGTGTTTCCAATGGCCACCTACATTCAAATAATTCTCCAAGGAAGACACTTGCAGCAAAACCGACACCGAAAATGCGTGTTGTTGAAAGGTGGTTGACAAAAAGTAGAACGTCTTATTTACTCCTAAATCTACAAATACATGTCAGATGGGTGATTACGCTGTTTGATGTGCATTCAAATAATACGAATGTTCTAAAACACTTGCATTAGCATCACAAAGATGATTATTCAACCAGGCTATTTTCTCAAAGGAGACAAATTTTACTAAGTAGCACAACAATCTGAAAAGCTTTTCAGATTTGGCAAAACAAATTGCACATCTGTTATCAAGAACATTGCCTGAGCTTCAAGTAAACGCCCCAACCATACCTTATCAAAGCTGAGGTTTGAGTATACGAAACATAAAAACAGATTAAGGTACCATTATCAGTATTTGAATCTTCTCCAAATGTAAATATTTTTCTCTCTCTCTTCATAAATTGTAGGGCTATGTCCTCCTTCAAAGTTAATTATTTTGTATGTACTGAAGGGACTTATATAGACTTCAATTGTTATACAATTATCATGACAACCCTTTGTATAAGATAAACAAATAGGCAGAAATAATGACAAGAGATTGGTCTGTGCGCCTATTGCCTAAACAACCCAGCAAAAACATCATTATTATTACAAGGGTTAAAACCAAGAGAACTCCACATCGTTAATACATTGCCGCCAAATGATGAATTTGCCAATGCAATTAATTTATATAAAAAATAGCAAGCTAATCGAATTAAAACTGTTGCTATGTTTTTATTAATCTGTTATTTTAATACATTTCCTATTCATAGCTGTTAACATCTTCAGTGCAGTGTGGCCAATGTTCATGAACAATGCTGTTTGCAGTTTATTTAATTTGTTACACGTGTAACGACTCCAGGAGACACTGCCCTTGTGATGATTCTTTATTGAAGACACGTTCACTTGACAGGCGAAGACCCCGACTACAACAGCAACTTCGAGCCTCTCCTCTCGACCCCTTTCATCCCCTGTGTGGCCATCCCTAGACCCTTGGCCACGACCCCTTCTCTCGAACCCTCTCGATGGCTCTCGGTCCCTGCTCCGCACCTGCCCCCTTCTATCACGTGGCCACAGCCCCTATTCTCGATCCTTCTCGTAGACCCCAGATCGTTCCCCTGTCTGTCCCTTAACCTGTCATTATCTCCTGTGGTCGCTAGTTTCTTCCTATGCGAATTCCTCTGTCGTTACCCCCTGCGACCGCTAGTCCCCTGTACTGTCTTTACACACGGATTACCCCGTACTGTCTTTACACACGGATTACCCCATTTAGCCAATTACCCGGCTATTTTACACGGGAGATCTGTGGTGCGTCAATGCATCAGCAACAACATCAAAAGACAAAATCATAACTAATGCAAAGAACGAATGCAAGGTCTTTACGGAATATTGTACAACAAAACGAGGTGTTTAGCGGTTGCGGACGAAGCACACGCGAATAAACAAAAAAGGACAGGGCACACAAGCGGCAAGAGAAAAAATAAGGTTAAGTCCAGGTTCAAGTAAGCTTTGTAGTTTGGTCTAATCAAGACATCAGAATCAGAATCTGTAATTATCCTGGAGGAGAAATCCGATGAGTTACGAAGCCCTTTTTCACAGATGTCCAGTCGGGATGGGTCAGAAGTGACAACAACGAAGAATGCAAAAAAACGAGAGTATAAAAAGGGGGCAGTGAAGGAAGGGAACCAAGGGGCGAGGGTATTCCACAAACGCGGGGCAGCAGTGACAGAGTGACACATTCTCACCTGCAGGAGGAATCGTCCCAGTCCGTACTTGCGGAAACGCTTCCTTGTAGCCATGAGCTGCAGTAAGAACACCTTTTCCCCAGACGTCCTGGAAGAGCAAACAAAACTCAGCAATACAACTAGCTTAACTGATATAACACACTTTTTTTAAATAAAGGGACTTCATCATCATCAGCCATGATCAATCCACTGCTAATGAAGGCCTCCCAAAGTTGCTGCCACCTCTCACAATCCACTTAAGGACTTGCGCACGGGCAAAATTAATCACTGAAGCACATTCCATTCCTTGGCTGCCATTCCGTTACTATGAAGTCATATGTAATTATATATAATTTTTATTATTCTACGTTGGACAATAATGATGATGGCCGTGTGTTCCCTTCCTATGTTCAAGCCCAGGCTTTAGAGACATTCCAATCATAGAATCTCACCCCATCTCCACCATCGATACCCTTTCCCCCCATTTGAAACATATACTCTCTCCCTTCTTAATCACCTACTCATACCCCCCTCTCTCTATTTAAGGCCTCGTCACAGAGACGATCTCTCTCTTTGTGCCGATACGTGTTCTCTCTCTGTGTATCTTTGTGATATCTGTCTGCTTATATGTCTGTCTATAGTTTTCTGGTTAGATTTTTGTTGCTATTTCTTTTATACCTGATGATGATTGCTTGTGTTGCAATCGAAACGTCGTAGTATGCTATTATTTAATTTATTATTTTATCTTTATACGTGACTTTACCGAAAGAACCAAAGAGTAATCCCTGCAGTCACGAAAGCTCCAAATTAAGATTGAAAGCACAACATCTTGAGACACTATTGTATAAACAATTTAATATTCGAAACATAATTGTATTGTATTGCACGTACAGTACGTGTCTCTGTTGGTCTTGTAGCAGCAGTGCAGCGGTTAGCGCGCTGCGCCATTAATCCGGTGACCCGAGTTCGATTACCACTCATGGTCAACATCAGTGATGATTATCTAAAACGGTGCTGGGCCTCCCCTAGGTCGACTCAGCCTTAAATGAGTACCTGGTGCAGTGTGTAATAACATCACCACTGGAAAGACAAAGGTGGTCGGGCGCGACACTGGCCACCCACCCTCTCGTGTACCGTGCCGGCCTTCATAGGTGCTCGCTAACAGCACCTGCCTCATTAGTCTGTTAAGGCTATACGGGGGATATTTGTCTTTGTAAGAGGTGCTCGCTGACAGTAATTCCCCCAACATCATATTAAGGCTATACGTAGGTTCTTTGTCTTATATTTATAAGTAAGCTTGTAAGAGACGATACTTCCAGGCCTAGACTTAACATCTTAGGGGACATATAATGATCCACAATAGTTTTTGGTATATACCTTCCAATGCATGCAGCTTTTGTTGATGCCCTTCATAAATCTGTTTCCCCTTCCTCACATCCATGTAATAGTAATGCAATTGCATCCCAGAGTATGTCACTTTTAAGCAGATTTTGCATATTAAAACCCAATGGCATTTTCAAAGAAATGGATTGGTACTTAATGAGTGCCTTCTCTTCAGGGAGCACAATGGGAAATGCATTTAGCAACTGTTTAAAAGCGAATTAATAATACATACACGTGCATTTTTAATGAGGTGTGCCACAACGGCCAAACACAATTCTGCCGCACGAAAAACAACGAGTCTCTCCTTCAGCCAAAAATGAGCCCCAATTTTAGATTGAAAGCTTTCGTGACTGCAGGGATTCATCTTCTTGGTTCTTTCGGTAAAGTCACGTAGAAAGGAAATAATAAAATAATACGAATAAAACATAATAAAATACAATTCTCACGATGTTTCGGCCACAACGCAAGCAGCCATCCTCAGGTGAAGAACAGGGCTGTCTGGTGTCCTTCACCTGAGGACGGCTGCTTGCGCTGTGGCCGCAACGTCGTGAGAATTGTATTTTAGTATGTTTTATTTTTTTTATTTTATTATTTCCCTTCTACGTGACTTGACCGAAAGAACCAAGAAAATGAGCCCCAAGTTACGTTACGTTTCAGTGGTGCGCAGCTTACAGACTTCCCAAACCTCCCTCTGGTGTCAAACTGCACACCGTGAAATACTGCACCGTCCTTATGTTACTCCATCGGTCCTTTCTCTGTCAGATTCTCTACGAAGTTTGTGCCACCACTCTTTATTCCCTCTACTTAACCCCGTCTCATTGCGAACTGTGAATTCTAGCACTTCGATCACAATCGCGAGTGTTATCAGCTCGTTTAAATTCACTGCTGTACGAAGCCAATTGTTTGATAACACCACAGAAATGTTGCACTCAGCGGTTGTAATGCTGCTCCCTCCCACTTGTGTTTTGATGTTATCGCTCCATATCCCCTTGGGTCATTTGCTTTTACAATTTTCTTTCTCTTGAGCGCCATTTACATAACCAACTGTAGCCCATTGTCCTGTATCCTTTTGAACTACACATCTTTTGAAACCATGGACATCCTTGCCAATGAGATGTTCCATCTCAAGTGATTATTCAGAGTAAAATAGTCTCAGAAAATAAAATATTTGTGGGCTTTTTTTTACTTTACCCGTTTGTGCCATGTTTCCTATTAATTTTACTTTAATCGCCTATGCAATTCCTTTATTGCCTGCTCAAGTAATTTCAGAGGGAGGAGGTTGGTAGACGTTCCCCTGGGTTCTCATCCAGGGGCTGTAATCGGATTAACATTTAAAGGGCAGAGTACTTTGGCCAGTTCTTTGCATGAGTAAAAAAACCCTCTATATTGAACATAAGCATATATAATAGCCCAGATCTGTCATTATTTATTTCATTCTGTGCCTGTGATTAACGCGGCACGGATTGGTTGAAGTGCGTCACGTGACCGCGAGCAAGCAGCCAACCAGAGGTGAGCCCCTCCCAAACATGTACGCCCCCCCCCTCCATTGGTTGAAGTGCGTCACGTGATCGTGAGCAACAGACGGGTGTGTGAAAGTGAGGAGATGGGTGAGTGACAGTGAGGAGACGGGTGAGTGAGAGTGAGGCAGAGCCGTGCTCCGTCCACTGCTGACCCGAGGGACCCCGTGCTCTCCACTGCTGGCTTTAGAGAGAGCCGCGCTGTCTTCACTGCTGCCGTGAGAGAGCCAGACGCGCTCTCTCCACTGCTGCCCTGAGGCAGAGCCGTGCTGTGCACTGCTGCCCTGACGGAGAGCCGCGCTATCTCCACTGCTGCCGTGAGGGAGCCAGACGCACTCTCTCCACTGCTGCCCTGAGGCAGAGCCGTGCTCGCTCCGCTGCTGCACGCTGTGCGAGTGGATCGTAAGGATTTACTTGACCAGTCTGTTGGGGGCCACCGCACGCTGTGGTTGTTCGGGGATGCTGCAGGCTGTGGTTGTGAGGGGGCGCACAGCTGTTACCCTCATCAAATAAGGGCACTATTTACTAATTAGTTTGGATGCAAAATATTCAAAGACTGCAATTGTATCACAGCCTAATGCTGAGCAATGTGCATGGAGTAATTACATGATCTTTTTGTATCGAATTCAAATCTTAGATCTAATGGGCTGCGAAAGACATGTCTGGGTAAAAACTGCCATGTGAACGTTGTTTTGATTCGTGTTCTTTCATGAGGTGAGAGCCTAATGAGATGCATTATCTCTTACTATATACAAGGAAGACCAGGACACATCACACATGTCTAGTCATGTAAAATGGATCACTACGGCTAGTATCGCTTAGTGCAGTATAACAAGGAAATATGGGGACAGAGGTGAGCACACCGTGCAGTACCACAATGGGTCACTGGGGGCGTGGTACCAGGTGCTCGCAGAAAGAGGCAAAGGAGCCCTACCGACAGAATAGGAAATAGCAGCCACTCCGCCAGCGCAGCGAGTAATTGCCGCATAATTGGTCACGAGGGAACGTGGTGAGGTTTGCTGTGAGGACGAGTCACCCCGGCTCCGGGTGAAGCGCGTGGTGACCGAGGGGGGACACGGGTAGTGTGGCCGAGAAGCTTCTGGAGAGTTCCTGAGGGGGGTGTGGTTAAGGGCGGCGCCGGGCAGGAAGCATGTGCGAGGTTGTCGGGAACCTTCGGGAACGTTTGAGAAGGGGGGCGCGGCCGAGGGTGGAGCCGGGTCGAGCCGAGAGGGATAAAAGGGGAGCCCCGATCGCATATCGGGGCTGTCCGTGGGTGAAGTGGAACCGAGGTGCTACATCTACGTCTTCGACATCGTGGGTCAGACAGCACGTGGCTGCTCTGACACGCTTGTAGTTATCCCGTAAAGGAAAGAGATCGGTGTATTATAGTCCCGTGGGTAACAAGAGTGAGAGACAGGCGTAGTCATCCCGTGTGTAACGGTGTCGTGTAAAGTGTAGAATAAACGTTGCCTCTTAATAGTGTCTCTGAAATGATTCACTACACATGCAAGAAAAATATGCGATATTATATATATTTTACAATGCATTTCAATTCTGGGATTCGAGTTGTAACACACTATTCTGACCACACAATTTGTCCATTAACGTGCGTCAAATATCAGAGGGAATGCTTAAAATGTACTGCTAAAGAGAAGGATAATTGCAAAGGTGCAATACGAGCTCATGAGAGCTCTTAAATTCTGCCATCCTAGTGCTGAATGTGCTGATTATTTGACTACTCAGTCTTGTTTACAGCACCATGTACTTGTGCGTGGCTGCGTTATGAAAAGGCCATACGTGCGAGAAGTGGTGTAGGTGAGGGCTGAGAGTAGGCAGCACTCGACCCCGATGGTGGAGGGGCCGATATCGTCGGGAGCCGCTTCACGCTCTCTGCGCCGCCTCCTTACGTCGTGCAGAAACTGGTCGATACTTCCTGAGAAATCCTCCTCCCTGTGTACAGAGCACAGACAAATGGTAGAATCATTATCATTGATAATGATGTCAGTAATATTTCTAGGAAAGCCTTACTGAGTATCAAGACCCCTTTTCAGCAATAGTTCTACATTGGCTTTTTTTTTCCTTTTTAAGGGTTGCTTTTTTGCACGTGAGGAAATTGGAAATAACACACGCACACAACAACACTCAAAGGTCTGCACAGGTGGATTCAACTTGTTTTACTACCATAACCCCGTGGGTTTGGGAGTCTCAAAAATGTAACGTAACCCAGCGACCGTTGCCTCCAAAGCACAGGGGCTAGAGACTTGCACCGCCTCACCAACCTGAAACTGCACCATGCCACAACAGGAAGGGACAATGGTGTAGCTATCGAGTAATCTGGGGGTGAAATTGCATTGGAGCCCATGTGCCTAAATAAGGTGCAGACGCCTCGAACAAGGGGGGCTTCTCCTTGCAGCAGAGCCCTTGCCAACCACATTACACCACGCCTCCAATTAGCACGGTTGGCTGGGTACGAAGCAAAATAAGTTAAACATACATACACCACTGTACAGAGTGCATGGCTAGGATGCCAAAGTAGGGGGTCTTTGTAAAATGTAAATATAAATCCAGTAAACGCAGGCATTAATTCTGAGCAGTACTTACACTTCGCAATTTTGGCCAAATTAAAGCTAAAAGCTTTGCATCGTCCATAAATCGACGCAAACCATACAAGTCCTGTAGAATCACTTCATCAAAAACCTTAACGTGAAGATCCATTGAAATCAACTTTCATCGATCGGACACACTGCCTAACAAGATTATTTGGAAACCTGGCCTAGGCTGATCAATAATTGGGTTGAAGGAGCAAATCTTTACGGGTAAATATACTTTCGAGCATCGATTCTACTTCAAGGAATAACGTGCTCAATGAGGTCAGACTAACAACAGACAAGGGAATGAACTATAACCACCTATACTGTGAGGAATTTAATGAATTCACATAATAGCATTTTTTTTTACAATATCTCAAGATGATGTTCATTGGCATTACACGAATTAACAGTTGGATTAAATTTTTTTAAATAATTTAGCCAGTCCATTATAATAATTGTTCAAAGATTATAATGGAATAAAACATTTTAACATCATTTTTAAAATGAAAACAAACCATTAATACGTTTTCAGAATAAATAAAAAAGCAGCATGAACATTTTTATTAAATTCTGAGCGTTACGCTACTTTTGATTAACATTATTATATCAATCTCATGCTGAATAAAGATTAAATTGTGCTTTAAGATCTGGGCACCAAGACTAAAGGGCACATGGCCAGGAAGCCGTGATGACCTGCTGTGTCGTTAATTAAACCAATGAAGTAAGCCCGCAACACTACTCCTGGCCATATCCCCTATACAAATGCATAAACTCAGAAGGCTATGTCTCGCAAAAGGATCTATATTAAACGCAAAAAGGCCTGGACTGACAAGCACAAATTACAGATCGCAAACGCCTAGAGGAAAGTAAAACTGTGCTTCCCCGCTTTCTTAATGTTTCTGTGTTCCCAACCTTTAGAGCGGCCATTTCAAGCAACAGTGTACCCTGCCACATACTTATACTCCACACACTTTAATCTCAAGTTGTTAAAGCACGAGAAAATACTGGCCTAAGCATCGTAATATATGTAAAAAAAAATTTTAAATAGCTTAGACACCAACAATATGACATTTGCTTGAGCCAGAGGTATATGAAATAATTACCTAATTTGTGAAAAGTACAATAGAGTCTGTTCTTGCTCTTGCCTTTAACTCTTGTAAAAGTAAAAATATCTAAACGTCTGTGGCATTAAAGACTTAAGGAAACTTTAATTTAAAAAGGGATATGTTTAAAGGCTTTTCGAGCTGTGCGGTGGGTTAGTTTTTCACTGGCCAGAATGGATAAAAGAGACTCATTACCCTCTGCCAGAATGTTTCACCTGCCACATGGGCCTCATGACACCACAACGTGGCCAGTCGCTACAGGTGATTACTACAAACGTCACAATTAACCCCCTCTCCACGATTAAATAAATCGTGATAATTTAACACTAATGACAAAATGATTCGTTTTTACATCCTTGTGGTGCATGAAAAATATATTCCGATTATAATTCATCATACTGTATTGCAGAGTAAATTAAATGAGCATAACGATTAATACATCATTTATTCTTACACTCAAAGTGATATGCATGTATCATGAGTGTAAGAAATAACTAAATTGCTAATGATGAAAAAAATACAATAACGGTGACAATAATGACGATCACGGTAATAAGGAAGCCGTATATAACAAATAAACTAAAATAAACATGAAAATACCACAAACTCGTATATTTGCAAAGCGTGATGATCTACACTTGTAACATAAATTCCTTGGGGAACGGGTCGATGTTTAACAATGATTTCACCATGTGCATGACGCTGCTGTTTGCTCTGCTCATGAATGGCCACTAAATTTCAGTAAAGTTAATGGGTTTCCAACCCCCACAGCATATGCATGCATTCCTGAGGGTAATCTATGTATGGATTTACTCTGGGTACTATAGGTTCTTACTACAGTAGTTGCAAAATGTAAACATGCCCATGCAGGAACCCTCCGATAAACACTTCGAAACTCAGCGAGGCTTTCTGAAATAAACAAATAAATCCATAAGAGGTTTTTTTCCCAACATGTTAAAGAAGCACTGCAAATGAACGGTTACAATGATGCACAAATCAACAGGGCATTGAATGCCAAAACCAAATCAAATAATACGAGCATTGAAATACCATACATTGCGGGAGTAACTGATAAATTAGCCAGATGTTTAGAAAAACAAAACATCCGAGTGAAATTTGGCACGGTACATAAAATACAAAAAATTATATCTGGTACAAAAGATGTTTTACCGAAGCTATCAACAGAAGATTTGTACAGGATTAACTGCACGTGTGGGAAATGTTATGTTGGGCAAACAGGACGAATGATCAGCACAAGACTAAAAGAACATCAGAGAAATATTAAATACTCCCAAATGCAACTGTCAGCAGTAGCAGAACATGCGTGCCAACAAGGACACTCAATTTATTTTGAGAATGTTGACGTTCTGTACAAAACTAGCTACTACTGGCCAAGAATAATTAGAGAATCTATCGAAATTTAAAGAAATAAAAAATAATTTTAACCATTACCGACTTAGTGCTGTGTGGAAGCGAATCATCAAATAATACATTGTTTAAATGCATGCCTATACAGGGCACCATACTTCAATAAGGATTACCGTTGGTATGGCTATTTTAATACACACAATGGGCAGAAAAGACAAGATCAAAGGGCTCGCATAATGCCCATGCATAATGTACGTTGGCTCATTAATCCCACCCACCCCCCCTCCCACTTTGTGCAAGAGCGCAGAAGTGTGGTCACCACATCTACGCCTCTATATCAGGAACGAAACAGGTGAACTTCTCCACAAATCTGGCTGTCGCCTGATGAAGCTAGTTGTAATTACTGGCGAAACGTCGTACTCAGATTATAAATGTTGTGGCTTGGCTCTCCAACACACCGGTGTGCTGTACTAGTGACGAATTTGCACGTTCTGTTGACGTGACAACCCTTACTAGTTGGCTGTGTCGGGTGGTGGCGGGTTTAAATGACACATTTATATATCTACGCGATCTAACCCCAAAAAAATAACCTCTATTATGGATATTGGTCGCGAAAGCCTACGTGTTAAACAAACAAATAAATGCTGTTACTTTGACCACTGTTCGCAAAAGCACAACGATAAACATCCAGAGCCTCCTCCAGAGGAAAACGCTCACTCCTCTGAAGAGGAGCTGCTCCCTTCACTGCTGTCCGTGTCGCTGTAGACCTCGGCGAACTTGCTGGCGGCTTCCTCGTCTGGTGCCGTGTTTCCGTCACCGCTGCCCCCTGTGCCGCACCCTCCGGTCGCCGGGTCCGCAGCCCCGGCGCACTCGCCGGAGTCGGCTCCTGCTGCCCGTGCGGCCGTCACCTCGTCGGGAACGATATCGACGAGCCCGCTGTGAACGCCGGACGGGTCCCCGTCTGCGACCGTGCTGCCCGGGTTGTCCGCCGCTCCCTTCAGACTCCTTCTTGCGTAGCTCTCCGTGGCCTCTGCAGGAAAGCCGGGATTCAGGATGTGAGTTTGGTTCTTTTTCTGAACGAGGAGAAGCGTAGTCCCTGTGAGCAGCTTCCTGACTCGGGTCCCCGTGGCCCAGTGGCCCATTTCAAATGTCTTAATATTCGCGTGGACGCACACCGTGGACATTCATATTGATAATCCGCGTGTCAATTGATACCTGGTCCACATGTGAGTGGAAGAGAATACATTTGACAATCAGTGGGGTGGCAGATACCATTAAAATGTACTTACTGCATTCAAATATAAAACATTGAGATGGGCAACATTAGGAAACACTGGCCATGACATATAGTAACAAATACAATTATAATCTGCAGACAAAATACTTGTAGAGTACTTTGTAAGAAATAATTAAAACTACAGTTTTAGGTGTTGATACACGTGACAAATTGTCATTATATGAACGTTATTTTGAAAACCGGCACAACCCGTGCTCATAGCTGGTGAATGATGGCAAATATTTTATTTTCAGTGATCCATTACAGGAAATGTTACAATCGAATAATTTTCAAAAGCGGCAAATGTGTATTCGTACATCAGCACGCGACTGCGAGTGCTACCACAAGGTCTTCAACACCCACGAGCATAGTGCTTCCCTCCAGAACGACTGAGTGCAATTGGGATTTGTGCCAATAAAAATGTAAATCCTTTGCCAATCTATTGCTGGACAAAGGCCCTCCTAGCAACCATCTCGATTATGGGAGTACTTCACCATGCTGGTCAGTTCAACTTAATTAAGGGGGAGGGAGGAGGGTCCCAGTTCACATATAACTCTCCACTGATGTTAAACATGGCCAGGCAATGAATGTAGGTTGCCCTGTTTGCACGTGCAGTGGTCCAGCCCATTTATAACTGTAAAAAGGGGTACTGTACTAAAAAAAACATCAGGATTCAAATAAATGTAAAAAAACATAAAGCTTAAGTTGTAGTATCCGATCGTTAAGCACTAAATATGTAAAAGTAATCTCTTTTGGGTGACTAAAAATAGAACTAATGTAATTGAAATAAGCGTTAATCTATGCTTGTTATATTATGCCATTCTCAACACATTTTGACCACCTCTGCTTAAATATTTCTAGATTTGAAGCTTTCGTGACTGTAAGGATTCATATTCTTAGGTTTTTTCGGTAAAGTCACGTAGGTAAAACATCAAAATTAATAAAAATAAAATAAAAATCACGACGTTTCGGAGGCAACACAAGTCTCCGTCATCAGGTGGGACCAGCTAATCCGGCTGTGACGGTCCCACCTGATGACGGAGACTTGTGTTGCCTCCGAAACGTCGTGATTTTTATTTTATTTATTTTTTATTAATTTTGATGTTTTACCTACCTGGTGACTTTAAAGAAAAAACCTAAGAATACTGCTTAAGTAACTTGACAAGAAATGCAATCGTAGTAAAGCACTACCTCCCCACACCGACATCATCTAAACACAATTTCCCACTTCCCAGCTTGAACACCACACGCTCTTTGTTTCCGTGCCCATGTCAGCAGTTGCTATAGGCTACAGAGTGAGACAATCTGGCTTGGAGCCAGGACAAAAATAAAATAAATGACATTACAAAAGAAATGAAGCCACTGCACAGATGCCGCACGCATCGGGTATATTTCGTGATTTTTTTTTTGTTCAGACAAGGTATGAAACAACAAGTATGTTGAACAAAGACACTAACAGATTGTACTTACTGTGGTAGGGCATTTAGAAAAACAATCAAGACCTGTCTCTCGAATGCACGGTGATAGACAGGTACAATTAGTGATGAAATAGCAGCCGCGATAGAATACAAGAACAGCAAGTCACAAAGAGGAGATAGAATGATTGACTAAGTCTACATATGGGAATAAACTTAAATTGCAGGCAGTATTAATGGTGCTAGCATGGGGTGACATTAATTCGGAGTTGATTGAAAATAGCCGAGGATGATATCAAACATTTTAATGTATAAAAATATGGCACAGCAAGCTGCTTGAACATACAGTACTGTTTCAGTGTTTCAGGCGGTTCATAGGCTGCATATTTCAACACCCGGCAAATATTATGACTGCTCATAGATTTGTCCTAAGTTATTTCACAGGTTTTTGCTAAACCTCCTGAAACCACCAATTTGCTAAACTTTCTGTGCGAGAACATTTAGTTTTATCCCTGGTGGTCAACTTTGAATCTGAATCCAGGATCACAACTCCAACATGGCCATTTGTTCCCCGGGGGACACCGATACATTCCACATATTGAAAGTAAAGAAGATGTTTAACATCTCTCATTGCTGTCCATCCTATACTCAGTATACGAATCAGGACATGTATTTTATACTGCAGGAATCCAATGAGGTTCAAGGTCTTTTCACAGATGTCCAGTAGGGGCAGGTCAGAACGTCACAACAACAATACAAACATACGATGGGAGTGCAACGTATAGGAAAGATAAGCAAATCAATACAAAAATATACAAATAAAAGGTAAAGCCCACTGAGCTATTCGCTTATTTTTCAGAAGCGACATGGCCACAAATGATAGCCTCAACGAAATGGCTTATCATGTGGAAATGTACACCAGCCAAATAAACAAAATAATCTAAACGCATGTTTGTAAATGACTCGGGCCTCAAGACGGCGTGCCATTAATGCTGGTGCCCATGACTCGCATGCTGTTTCCTAGTTTGATTGCTGGAAAACAAAAACGTACTTTGGAACAAATGCTGCACTGCATGCATACAAGAATGAAGTCACACACTCAGAATGACACTTACAGACGAAAAGAGAAGATACTGACTGCGAAGAAAGTAAGTGGCTTTAGACAGAACACTAAAATGGATAATGGCGAATGGAAAGACTATTGGTGGAATGGCAGCCATAGGACGAGAAGCATAAGTAGATGACCACCATGGACATCCAACTCATTATGAGATAACTTTCTGTGTCGAAATGGGAATGAATCGTGGCATCACAAGACAGGAAAAATGGCGACAGTGCAGCAAAGGATATACAATAGGTGAAGATGATAACTCAGTAACAGGCTGTAACCATCAAACTCGGTGCACATAAAAACATTTTTCCCCTGGGGGGCCAACTTTGAACATGAAACCAAGATCAGAAAGGTGCTGGCTCACTGCTCCAACACAGGCATATGTCCCCTGGACAACCCAGGCACCCCGTGTTTTGAAATTAAAGCGGCTGTTTAAATGTTGCCTTGCTGCCCTGCCCGGCCCAGCGTGACATGCGCGTCCGAGGCCTCTGGACGATGAGATTATCCCAGCTGCCCCCGACTCACATCCCACATCCCAGGTCGACGACAACAAACGTTCTCGTTAAAATGTTTATATATATACCCACAACTGAGTGCAGCCTGTATTTGATCTCTGCTGTTGCAAGTCTGACCTTTGCAACCAGGTCAATGATATTTGAATTTTGGCATTATCAGGTCACATTTTTTTTTTCCGATCCAGTTCAAAGCGCTGGTACTGGAACATTATGATGGAAAACGTTCCCAAAAGGCTGGCTCTTGTTTTCAAAACAAATTTCACAATGCCCTGGTTACAGCATGTGATTGCTGTATACACTTAGGCCATGGAAGGAACATGCCTATTTTCGCTCTGTAAATATAGAAGTCTGATAAAATATGCCTTCCCCAGTGGGCCAGAAGAAGGACATTACCAGTCAGCCTCCATTTTAAAACATGCCCTGTATGCCAGTTATGAACAGGTTGGTTGATTTAGTTTTTTTCAGAAGATCTGTTGTATTTGTCATCAAATTCACATAAATGTGTGGCTACTAGTCACAACAGAGAGGAAGTCGCTGATAGCATTAATGATTGCTTGAAAATAATAACATAAGCCTGAGGCTTAAATATCAATGTAAAACATGACCCAGACACTGATTTCCAAATTGCTAGTAATGAAGAATATAGTTGTCCATGGGCTTATGGCACTGTATATCTCAGCTCTTACTTATTTGAATGCATCTTTATTGAAATAATAGCTATGTGGGTATTGATATGATTTTCTATGTAAAATGTAGGCATCGTAATATGAGAGCAAACAGTACACGTCAATAAAAACCACTGAAGAGCACGAACAACTGTTATGCAATGAATATCTGCCCTACTAAATTTCACAACACACAAAGGTGTGCATTGCATGTACAAAGGCTCTCAGTCTTATCCAAATCACCATCACAAAATAAGTGACTGGCCATTTTGTTATTTAGACCACCATCTCTCAGTATTGACAAGATGTGGCCATCCCAACAGGCAGCAGTGAAACAGACACAACCATAGACCAGTTTCATCTTCTTCAGTACGGCCCAGTCATCAATTTTCGTGATGGCCATATGCCTCTGGGAGCTCCATACATGGAGAGGACTTGTACCTTTACACAATGGGAACCTGTTAGTACTTGCTTAAAGACAACAATAAATTGAAATCTGCTAATTTATTGATTGGATTAGAGCTGCCCGACACAAGAAAACACACTGGGCTCATAGCCACTATAAGTGTAAAGACAGTACAGGGCGATAAAGGGGCAGTATGGCTCCCCGGGACCATGGTTACTAATTAACGTGCTAATGAGGATTGATGGGACGAGCGTTAACAGGGTCACGTGACGGGAAGCACGGGACCCAACGGCCGTAAAGTGTAATAAGGGCAGAGATTGACAGAGCCAGGTGCGGTGAGCGAGAGTCCGGGAATAGGGGCGTGGCCGGGTCGTGCGAGGGATAAGAGCCGGCGCGAACCGGACCTGGGGGCTGTTGTTGTGGGCAATCGCCGTCTTCATCTTGGAACGGGTCGTCTCCATCGTCTTCGAGTAGTCTTGAGGCTAGAGTTACATTGTCTCAGACTAGAGTTGTCTAATTACCCAAGTGTATATAGTCACTCGCGGTTACTCGTTAAGTTGTCAGCGGAATTTATTCATAATAAATATACGTAAAGAATAAGATGGTGTCTCTGAGAGCTACATTACAGTGGTATCAGAAGTG